ATAAATCCTACCTATACTTTAAATCTGAACCACAAGCATTAGCACAACAGTCTCAAAATCTGCAGCTGTTAGACCAGTTGAGCCAGTACTACCTGACTCCAGACTCAGAGGAGCCTGCTGACTTCTCTAAAGCTGTGCTCAACCAGTTGAGAGATTAATTTACCTACAGGGTGAAGTCGATGAAGCTTGTTTTTCTTAGGCCCTTTAACCTGGAAGTGATCCCAAGTGTCATTTGGTTTCTGCTTCCAGGTCTGGGAAGGGCTGCTTTGATACCATTCCGCAGTGTTCACTGGTTTTTCTGTCAATCAACAGGTCCTGAGGATGAGATTCCTCAAGCTTCTTTAGTGAAAGGGTGTTGCCTGTTTCACAATCTGTGTGGGACCCACTCGTGCTTTGGTTCAAGTAGTTAATCTTTCCCTGGCTCACAGAGCATTTCCCTCCTCAGCCATCTTATGTCACTTACCCTTCTTAGCCAGACTGCAGCTTCTCATTTGCTTTCAAGGCTTTGGACAGTGGCCATCTGTTTCAACACTTTCTATTGTCAGACGCTGTTCACAGTCCTGACTTCCACGCTATATTTGATAGCTTCTGAATGCTTGCCTTTCCTAAAACTGGACCCACGTCCTCCCTCCAATTCTAAAACACAGGGGAAATGTTTGTGTTCTCAAGCCTACTTTTAGATTTTTTAAAAGTGCTAACCATGTGGTTAACATTATGCTAGACACTGAGAAAATTACAAAGTAAGAAAAAAACAGAAATCTAGCCAGAGAAGAAGAGTGTGAAGAGAAAGTTGGAGACAATCTCATATGACAGAGGATCTTAAATCCATGACTGAAACATTGGACTTTACCACTGGGAGTAGCTGTATGGGAGCTATTGGAGGCAACCAGTTGGAAGAACTTTACACATAAAGAAACAGTGATAGGGCACTATTGTGCAGCAGAATTAGGAGGAGGAAAAAAGCTAAATAGGAGGTGGTTAGGAAGGTGGTTAGTAATCCCCTTGAGAGTCAATTATATTTAAGACATTTTACGAAATAAATTAGGAGAAACTTTTTTTATTATGAAAGCAATAATGGTTTGAGAGAATGTGAAAATTTCTAAAACATATATAACCTCACAACCTAAAGATAATTATTGATATTTTATTACCTTTCTATGGATATAACAGACCATATAATACATGGAGTTTTACTCTTTTTAAAACTTAGCATGAAGATTGCCCACATTACTAGAATTTGAAATATAATCTATAAGTAGTCACTAAGTCTATCAAATGGCTGGTCCGTAATCTAGCTTTGCTGTCTTGGTTAGATATTCAGATTATTTCTGGTTTTTAGCTGTTGGCAGTCAAAGTGCAACAGCTATCCTTTCCCAAATATCTTTACTTCCCTAATCATTTGCTTAGATTCAGAGGGGAGGGTTCCTTTTCAGGTTCTTAATGTTCTGTAGAGACATTTGTTCCTCTTATACAAGCAGCGTGTGGCACTGAGCATAATCATTATTAAATCATTGCTAACTTGATGGACAAAAAGGTTATCCTTTGTGATAAGCATTACTTTGCCAGTTAACTATTAATGTGGTTGAAAGTTTTACTTAACAATGACAGTTTGAGGTAGAGAGATCACTTGAAGCCAGGAGTTTGAGATAGTGAAACCCGAGTAACACAAAAGCAAAAAACAAAAATTAGCTGGGTATGGTGGAGTATGCCTGTAATCCCAGCTACTCGGGAGGCTGAGGCAGCTGAGGTTGTTAGCTTCCTCTGTGCCATTCTGAAGTTTACAAACTGTTTCCTCCTTTGAGATTTTGCACTAGCTGTTTCCTCCTTTGAGGAGAGAACTGCTCCCAGACCCCACATGCTGGACTCCTTGCCTTGACTCGGGCCTCAGCTGCACCATAGTCCCTTCTGTAGGGAGGACTTCCCCAACACCCTCTTCATCACTTCATATCTGCCTTCAGGGTTCTCACTAACCTGAAATCATCTTTCAAAATTTTCTTATTTACTTGACACTAGAATGACTGTAAACTCTAAAAGGGTCTATCTCCTGTACAGCTGTGTTTCTAGCACTCAGAATATCACCTGGCACATAGCAGGAACGATATAAATATTTGATGAGGACTGAGTAAACTAATGAATGGAGCTTGAGGGAGAGATTAAGCCCAGGACTGCAGGAGACCAAGTGCTTTAAGGACCTCCCTCTAGTCTCCCTGGCTGCTTCTTCCATTTTTGGAAGTTCATTTCATCCCAACAATAGCAGTCTACTACAGAAATGCTGCTATATATTCCCAAGCCTTGCAGAGGGGAAACATGAGAACTTAAGGGCATTAAAGGTATAAAGATCTTGGTGGAGCCCCAAACCCCTTTCCCAACCTAATACTGGGTTTTGGAAAGTTTAATTGCTGCATGTGAATATATTTTTGTTTCATTCTCATTGGGAAACATTATCTGTGAACTATGGCCAATGGGAAATCATCAGTATTTAGTTAGAACAAATAAAAGGTAGTATGCATTATGTAAAATGTACATTCATATATGAAATCTTTAATCCAAATGATTGCCCTGCTACCTTTCTGAATAGCCATCACATCCTAGTCTAAGGGTCAAATAGATTGAAGGTAAAATTAATCCAAGCCGAATTCTGTAATGCCTTCATCACACATAGATTTTTTGGTTTTTGCCTGTTTTCAGAATAAAGTAATGAATTACGAGAGGAAGTTGATTTACTTCATTAAAACAAACAAACAAAAGCAAAAAAATGACAAAAAAACAAAACAAAAACAAGAAAAAAAAAACAAAAAAACCCTGGGCCAGGTGCGGTGGCTCGCACCTGTAATCCCAGCACTCTGGGAGGTCAGGAGATTAAGACCATCCTGGACAACATGGTGAAACGCTGTCTCTACTAAGAATACAAAATTTAGCTGGGCATGGTGGCTCACACCTGTAGTCCCAGCTACTCGGGAGGCTGAGGCAGGGGAATTGCTTGAACCAGGGAGGCGGAGGTTGCAGTGAGCAGAGATAATGTCACTGCAGATCAGACTGGCGACAGAGCAAGACTCCGTCTCAAAATAAAAAAAAGAAAACTAAAAAATAAAAAAACCAGAAACCAACTGAAAGCAAATTTCCCATGGCTATTGCCTAATGCTAGAAAACATTAAGAATATTCCCATTGCAAAAATATCTGCAAGTGGGAGAGAATTAGACAAGGAAGGGTTGGTGGCTGGATGGTGATATGCATCTATTATATATTACACACTGTTATGGAGGCTTTACAATTGTCACCTCTGAAAAGTGGGCACAACCTCCCTATTTAAATGTATATAAAATAAAATTACAGGATAGCTTTTACACCAGACTGGCAAAACTGGCAAAATTTAAAAGTCTGACATTACCAAATATTGGTAAGAACATAAAGCAATGAAATTCTTATCCTTTAAAGGATATTGCTATGGAAAAAAGTTAGGGCTTTTTCTAATATAATTGAAAATGTACCTACCCAATGATTCTGCAATTTCATTCACTAAACGACCCCTGAAATACGTGCACAAGAGGACATTACCAGAATCTTTGCAGCTGCACTGTTTATAAGAGCAAAATAAAAATTTGGAAAAACTGAAATGTCCAAAGGAGAGGAATTTAAGTTAAAAAAACATTTAAGGTTTTTTTTTCAAGATAATTGAGAACCTGCAGTGAATGCTATGGTTTCCTGTTATTTTTAATTGCTAAGGTTACAATGACTGGAATCAGTTCTGCCTTCAAGGCCAAGTGTTCATGCTCCATGTATCAGGAAACCCATTTGGCATAGAGACCATCCCAGGAAATCTAAGTTTCAGATCCACAGAATTACTAGCAAAGAGCAATGTCCGAAGTGTCCAGTAGGAGGCACTGCAGGGGATTGGGATGGCCTGTTTTAACCTCATACATTTTGGGGCAACTATACCCATTAGTCGTGGCATACATACTAGTCATCAGGCAAGAAACAAGATAGGACACAAATGCATCTATTCATAAAGTGAAAATGAAAAAAGATAGCATAAATAAAAAAATTTAGAAATAACTTTCAACACAGCTCATAGCAATAGCTCTGAATGCAAATCATATGACTTTTAAAAAATAGTAATACCTTTGTTTTGTTTTGGATGAGGACATAAACCCTGAAGAACATGCATATACAGAGGAACTTCATGTACTGCTGATGGTAGGGGAAAGAAATAATAATCTCTATTTACAGCTTAACAAAGAGGTCCTGAAAGAGTGGGAGCCCTATGGGTCCCTGAGAGACCCTTCAAAAAGATCTGTGAAATCAATACTATGTTCATCATAATATCAAGATCTTATGCCTTTTTTATTCTCATTCTCTCATTAGTGTATGGTGGACCTTTTCTGAAACGATATGACATATTGTATCATGCGACTGATTGCAGAAGCAGATTATGAGAATCATCCAGTGATCTTCTAGTAAGCCAGACATCAAAGAGATCTGCATCTATGTAGAACGAAGCTACTTTTCTCAATAAGCCTGTTTAGAAAGTAATTTTTCATAAATTGTATGGTATTTGCCTTAATGTGTAATGGGTTTATTGTTACTTAAGAAAGTAAATGTTTAAAAATTATCACTTTTCATTTTTAATATAATAATATTGACAGGCATAATTAAATAGACAAAAACACTTTGGAATCCTCAATATTTTTTAAGAGTGTACAAATCTGCAAGCCACTGACCTTCAGCTGATCACAGGAAGCTTTGCTGCTAGCACAATTATTGCATCTCTGCTCCTGTGGTTGCTTTTTATCTTACTGTCCATGATCTTACAAAGACCATCAGGAAGAGCTTGACCAAGAATCGTTTAAATGGATATTACATTTTGCATCTTTTCCTACATCTCATTGCCCTGTGGGATAACTCTGGGGTGTCTCCTGATGACTAAGGTAGCAGGTACCTGTTGATATCACATTGGTAAGTTTCAGACAGGAACAGTCTTCAGGCTCTGAAGTAGTTGAAGATCACAGTGGGACGCCTGCTTTACAGAAATTAATGAGCATGACTCAGGCAGATTCATGATACTCCTTAGAAGCCATTTGGGATAACTTCCTCTTTGGGGTCATTCCATACAGGCCGATGCAGAGCATGCAGTGCTCAAATGGGATTTGGAAAGAAATGAATAATTAATTTAGACGTTCAACTTGAAATAGACTTAAGACATTCCTGGTGATGAAGGACTTAGATGCCAGAAAATCAGGCTCAAAGACTTTCAAGCCATTTCTTAGTGTGATGCCACATTCTTTCCTACGTTCTACTGGGGAAGGCAGGTCTGCCCTGCCCACGGTGGCGGTGGCGGGGAAATACCTAGGCATGGAAGTGGCATGACAGGACTCGGGCCACTGTCGTATTTTCCACTCTTCGTATCTTCCAAGTGCGGAGGTCCTGCACGTTCCAATCCGGTAGGCAGGTAGACCCCGGGCCGGGAGTCTGTGGCTGAGCCAGGTATGGGTGGGGCCCTGACGGTAGGAGACCTGTGCTGGAAAAGAGGTGGCGACAATGTGCGCCACCACAGGCCAGGGATCAGGCCCCTCGGGTGGGCCCCCGACCCTGCTAGGTGACCGTGGGGGAGCCGACTCAGTCTCTGGGCAGCAGTGTGGAGTTGCGGCGGCTACTTTCAGCTCCAGCGGCTCCCGGCCTTCCTCGCTCCTTTCCCGCCCTTGCCAGGTAGGCCTGCCCTGGCTGCTCCCCAGTGAGCCGGTGTTTGGGGTTTCTGTTCAGACAGCCAGGCGCGGGCGGATCCTGAGGCCGCAGGCGCGTAGGGGAAGCTGCCCGCGACGCGGGCGGGGATGGGATCCCACGTCCGGGACCCAGGCCGCGGGATGTGCTCGGGGGCGCCCTGGCCCTTAGCTGTCAGGTGGCAGAAGGGGCTCCCACGGGGTCCCCACCGCCGCCGCCGCCCACTCCCCGCCCATCCCCCTCCGCGGCGGGGCGAGCTCCCCGCCCTGGATCCAAAAGGCCGGGCGCCCAGAGGAAGGAGACGGGAAGGGCAGTCTTTGGGGGCAAAGTCGGAGGGCTCCCCAGGAAGAAGGGAAGGTCAGCGACCTGGGCGGTTGTCTTTGAGACTCCGAAGTCGCTCAAGCCGACGCCTCGGGCCGGGCCCACAGCGCCCTCCCCTCCCACCCTCTTCTCCCTTCCTTGCAGCCGGGTTTGGGGATGTGGTCCTTGCTGTTCTGCGGGTTGTCCATCGCCCTTCCACTGTCTGTCAGAGCAGGTACGTTCGGTGTGTCCTCCGTTCCCAGAGACCGCCCTTGTCCACAGGCTCCTGGCTCCTCCTGGGGAGCCCCCAGAGCGAACCCCGGGGATCGCGCCAGCAGGAGCGCGGCGCCTTACTCTCCCCAGACCACCAGGCGGAGTCCCCTAGAAGAAGAAAGGGCGACTGCTGGGATGTTCAGCCCTGAATGTCGCCTTGGAGCTTGGAGGTGACTTCGGGGAGGGGAAGGAGTTAGGCAAATGCAAGTGAAGACTGGAGTAAAAATGCTCAAATGAAGTTACTACTGCCTATTTTATATGATAAAGAGTTATTTTATGACACAAGGTGAAAGCAAAGAAATCATCAGAAAAAATTTCTTCTAAGAAATTTGGTGGAAATGAACTTTAAAAGTGAAACAATTTTTAAAAAAAACAATCATTTTGGGATGAAATACCTTTTACTGGAGACAGAGTAAAATAACTGGGTGGCAGAGCAGAAACAGAAAAGACAAGAAGGGCTCCTTTACTCTGTGGGAGGAGGATTAAAAGAATTGTGGGTTGTAGACTAGAAGGGAAAGAGGGAAATCATTCCTAATGGGGAAGACTTGTGAGGAGAGAACAGAGCAAATTATGGATGCATTTGAATAACTTATGGATACATTTGAATAACTTGGAACTATACTTTATAATCAGCAGGCTATTTTTGAGAAATTTCCACTCAAGAAACTCCCAAATAAAATTTCAAATTGGCTGGAAAATTGAAGTGGCATTTAAAAAAATGAATAGTAAATAAAACCAAAGTTTTCTTACATGGTTGTTTTGTTTTTCTTTCCCTAGATGGATGCAAGGACATTTTAACGAGAAATGAAATGTCTTCAGCAAATCAGCCTTTTGCTTTTAATTGTACATTCCCTCCAGTAACATCTGGGCAAGTCAGTGTAACATGGTATGAAAATTCTAGCGAAATCCCAGTGTCCAAAAGCATACAGTCGAGAATTCACCAGGACGAGACTTGGATTTTGTTTCTCCCCATAGCTTTGGGGGACTCAGGAGTCTACCAATGTGTAATAAAGTAAGTTCCTCATTTAAAATGAACTAACTTGTGTGTGTATGTATAAATTCTTTTAGGAAAATTCTTAATGAACATAGAAAACTCACTGAGAAGAAATGTGTTGTAGCATGTTTTTATAATTGTTACAAGAAGATTTCCAGTGAACACATTTTTAAGCAGAACAGATTTGTAAATCATTTTTGGAATCTGATATGCATCTTTTCCCATGGAAATGGCACCTTAGGCTAGACCTGCTCACAAGTGTGTCTGTTTCAATATTATTGCTGCCATCTTCCTTCCCTCCTTCCCTCCTTCCTTCCTTCCCATCCCCCCCTTTTTTTTGGACAGACTCTCTTTGTCACCCCAGGCTGGAGTGCAGTGGCGCAATGTGAGCTCACTGCATCCTCTGCCTCCCCGGTTCAAGAGATTCTCCTGCCTCAACCTCCTGAGTAGCTGGGACTATAGGCGCGCTACTACTCCTGGCTAATTTTGTATTTTTAGTAGAGGCAGGATTTCACCATCTTAGCCAGGATGGTCTTGGTCTCCTGATCTCGTGATCCACCTGCCTCAGCCTCCCAAAGTTCTGGGATTACAAGTGTGATCCACCATGCCCGGCCGCTGCCACCTTTTTTGAAATACCAAAAGTTTTTGTGCATCCAGATAGGAATAAGCCTCCTATGCACCCTTTTCATAAGGAATCTGATTAAAGCAGAGAGTAAGCATCAAGTATGTTCCTGACCTCAGTGGAGAACCTGTGCTAAGAAATATGAGTGAGTAACATAGGCCTGGTGGTGACTGTGGTCAACTGGAGAGCATGTGCCCCTCAAAGGTAGCTGTCTATTCAGGTGAAGCCCATCTTCTCACTTTTCAAGGGAATCTGGAAATTGGAATTTGTGTGTGCAACTTTTATAATTTGTGAAACGTTGTGGGGCCTGAATAAAACACATTTGTAGACCAAATTTAGCCTGAGGGCCACAACTTATTCTCCCAGGCTAGCTTGCATGACCTTAACACATTACTTGATCTCTCTGAGGCTTGGCTTTTTCTGTAAAACGGAAGTAATGCTGGCTGATAGGGTTGAGGTGAACGTTAACTGAGACCATGTGTAAAATAGGTATTCCATTCTCTCTCTTGTTTTCATTCTGCAGTATTTGCTGGCCCCTTTCTGTGTCCCAGCATGGCCCAGGGACGTCCCATTCTGATTCCTGCCAGATTCCTCATTTCTATACACCAGACAGACTAAATGCACAAAATTGAGTGGTTCACAAGTGGAAGTAGTCATTAGCTCTGCCTGGCTCCTTTCCACAGATTTAGTTGCTAATAAACCTCTTTAGTTGCTAATAGACTAAAATAGGAAAGCAGGGCATGTGGAAGTCTGCTTTCCTATTTTAGTCTAGGCTGTGAATTATTAACTAGACTTGAAGATCATACATCACATAAATGAATCTGGATGTCATAGCTAGATTTAAAATATTTATATCTGGATGCTGTGAAATGAGGAAAAAATATTCTTTAATAGAAATTAGACAAAGATATCTGTCATGAAAGAAAATGAACATGAATTCTTCAAGATTTTTACTAATAACACTCAGATCGAATACGTTTAGTAAATTGTGTATTTTTACCTTTTGCTTTAAAATAATTTTAAATTTACACAAATTTTGCAAGAATAGTGTCAAGAACTTCTTTCTACCCTTTATCTAGATTTCTCATTTTTAAGAATATATTTTTAAATTTACCTTTTAATTTTCTCTTTCACCATATGTGATATAAATTATAAACAATATTTTTATCCTAAACCATTTCAGTTGTATGCCTCATATCCTCTTAGCCCTTAACATTTCAATGTATGTTTCCTATCCACAGAGTATATTTCCCATTTCCTTTCAATGTATATTTATTTATTTCTTACATAATCACAGTATAGTTATCAAAATCAGGAAACATCACCATCATATAATACCTTAATCTGTAATCTATATTCTAATTTTGTCAATGGTCTCATTGAAGACCTTTATAATTTTTCTCTTTCTTTCCAGTACAGTTACCAATCTAGGATCATGCATCAAATTTGGTTGCCATGAATATTTAATTTCTTTTAATTTGGAACAGTTCCTCAAGCTTTTGGTTTTTATGACACTAACGTTTTTAAGGACTATAGGCAATTGTTTTGTATTATCTCCTTCACTGAGGTTTGTCAGGCATTTCTTCATGCTTAGGTTCAGGCTGTGCCATTTTGGCTGGAATGCTAGGTGAGTGCTTTTTGTCCTTTTCAGAATATTACTCAGAGGCACGTGGCGTCCACTTGCCCCTAGATGGTGATGTTCTTTTCATCACTTGGTTAAGTTGTTGTCCAGTTTCTCCACTCTATGTCCTATTGTAATGAATAATTTGTGGGGTGCTTTGTTAGAGGCAGAGGGTTTGCACAGTGCTGTGAAAATGATTGGAAAACATTTGAAAATGAGCTGAATTATTTTATTTTGTGATTTTTAGAAGAGTTTATGAAGTTTCAATCTATCTTACAGGGATAGAGACAGCTGTCATAGAATACATGTAAACATAACTGTTTTTGAAAAACATTGGTGTGACACTTCTGTAAGTGGTTTGCCAAATTTATCAGATGAGTACAAGCAAATATTACATGTTGGAAAAGATGATAGTCTCACATGTCACCTGCACTTCCCAAAGAGTTGTATTTTGGATTCAACAATGTGGTATAAGGTAAAAAAATTATTTTCTTATTAACATGTTTCCTCCTTTTCTTTAAAACCCACTGTTTTTCATAGGTTAAGTTGTATTTTTCAGGCAGAATTGGTAAAGAAATTTGTGTGCCTAAGATAGTTAGCTAGTAGTCATTGATAATGTTACCTTCCTAATTACTTGTTTTTAAAAAAGTTTAGTTATCATAACTTGGTAATATTTTATTATTTGGATCCACCCTCTTCCTCCAGTTCTTATTCTGATTTTTTGGGCTATCCTTGGCTATTCTTTATTTTCTAACATTAATTATGTTTGTTTAAATGCATACTACATGGGCTTGGTTCAATAATCACAAATTATAAGAGGTCACCCCTTGAAAACCTCTTTTCTGCTACTTCCATATTTGCTCTAGGCTCCTCACACCTTCCTCAACATGAGGCTATCATGATCGGTGTCTGTGATTATTCTTGTATAATGCTATACTAGCAAATGAAAATATGTAGTCTAGGTCTTCCTAGCCCTTCCTTTTTTATGCTCATCTTTCTGCACTTTGTGTTTTCATCTTCAAAGTTTCTCTTTTCTGGATGATCTTGGCATATGTTGATATAGAAGGTAACCCTTGGCATGGAACAGCACAAGCTAGTTATTTGAGATCAGAATTAGTTTTTCCTGCTTGTTAACACTTGCCAGCACAACCCTCTGGGTCATGAGTTTTCTTTACGGGAAGGTTTTCATCTATTGATTCAATTTCTTTAATGGCAAAAGGATTATGCAAGTTTCCTACTTTTTCTTGAGTGAGTTTGGTAAGATTTCGTGTCTTAGGAAGTCATTATTCATTCTGTCTTACACACATACACACACACACACACACACACACTTACTTGATTAGTTTCATCAGAGACTTGTCAGTTCTACTACTCTTTTCAAAAGCTAACTTTTGGCTTTGTTGATCCTTTCTGTTACGTGTCTCATGTTCATTTAGGTTGTTCAGTTTCCTTTCACAAGAAATGTAGAAGTGAATGTCCTTATACCTGTCTGCTAAGGCACATTTGCCAGTGCATGCATTTCTCTGACATATGATTACTAGCCCTAGAATTGCTCATTTGTAGGGCATGCTGATGAATAAAGTATTCAACTTTGTTGATGTTGCACAAATTGCTTTACAGAATTTTGTATTAATTTATACTTTTGCCAGGAGTATTTTGTTTTATTTTATTTTATGACAGGGTCTCACTCTGTTGCCCAGGCTGGAGTGCAGTGATGTGATCACGACTCACTACAGCCTAACTCCTGGGCTCAAGTGGGAGCCCTGCTGATTTTTTAAATTGTTTGTGGTGACAGACTCTTGCTATGATGCCCAGGCTGGTCTCAAACTCCTGGCCTCAAGTAATCCTCCCGCCTTGGCCTCCTAAAGTGGTGGAATTATAAGCATAAACCGCCATGCCTGGCTCACCAGGAGTATTCTAGATTTCCTACAACCTGGTGTCGAACTTTGTATTATAAGACTTTCATTTTTAAAATCAACTTGGTGGGTATAAAATATACCTATTTGTTATTTTATTCTTTTCCTTAATTGTTAGTGAGATTGACCATTTTTTTCATATGTTTATTGGCCATTTCTGGATCCTCTTCTGAACTGACTGCTCATATTTCCTTGTGACTTACAGGAGATTTTATATCTTTATATATCTTGGGTATCACTGTTTGAAACACATTTAAAAAAACTTTTTAAATGAAGTAAAAAATATACAAATAAATTGCAGAAATCATAAGTGGACAAGATTGATGGATTATCAGAAAACAAAAAAACAAAACAGACAACACATGGTGCTATTAGTCTTTTTAATTTTTGCTGTTTGGATAAATAAGTAATTGTGTTTCATTTCAGCTTTAATTAACAAATGATGATGCTGATATTCTTTAAATTTTGATTATGCTTCCCCATGAAGGTCAAGAAAGAAAACCGTACTAGCACCTCTGAAGGCCTACCTCTTCCATCTTGCAAAACTATGCCTACCTAGTCACCCCAAATAACCACTTTCCGGATTAATACTATCATAAATTAGATTTACCAGTTTTCAAATTTTATTTAATTTGAATAAAATCATATGTAATATTTATGTCTAGTTTCTTTGGCTCAATAGCAAACCAGTGGGAATTATCCATGCTGTTGCATGTGGCTATATTTAATTCATTTTCTTTGCTGTATACTGTTTCATCATTATTGTTCTTAGACTTTTGAGTCATTTCCAATTTCTGAGTCTCAGAAACAAAGCTAGTATGAACACCTTTCTCACTTATGAATGCAATTTTGTGGGCATATTGCATGAGAGTGAAATAGTTGGGCCATAAGAGTACGTAGAAAATGCCAAAACATTTTCCAAATTGGTGTGCCAATTTACAGTTCCAGCAGCAGTGTATAAGAGGTGTTTATGCTCCTATGTCTGACAACACATGGTACTATTAGTCTTTTTAACTTTGCTGTTTGGATAAAAAAGTAATTGTGTTTCATTTCAGCTTTAATTAACAAATGATAATCCTGATATTCTTTAAATTTTTTAATTGGACCTTGGATGTGTGTGTGTGTGTGTGTGTGTAATTTTTTTGCGTACTTGCTCATGAACTTTTTTTTTTTTTTGAGACAAGGTCTTGCTCTGTCACCCAGGCTGGAGGGTAGTGATGCAATCAGAGTTCACTGTAACCTTGAACCCCTGAGTTCAAGTGACCCTTCTGCCTCGGCCTCCTGAGTTACTACAGGATACCTTGTCCAGGGGATACCTTTTTTTTTTTTCTGTGAAAAGCCAAATAATAAATATTTTAGGCATTGTAGGCCAGATGATTTCTGTTTCAACTACCCAACTCTGCTTTAATAGCACAAAACCAGTTGTAGACAATATAGAAATGAAGGAGTGTGGTTGTGTTTAAATAACATTTTATTTACAAAAACAGGTGGTGAACTACATTTGGCCGATGGGTGGCTTGCTAGCCTCTTGTCTTGTCTATTTCTCATTGATTTGTAGTAGTTCTTTATACATCTAGATATCAGTAATTGTTACAATGTTCTTCTAAGCAATGGCTAGCCTTTCTATTCTAATGAGATCTCAACTTCCTAGTTTTAATGCAGTCTAATGTATTGATTTTCCTTTGGGATTGGTACTTTCTGTGACTTAAGATTCTTTTCCTACCCCAAGGTAAAAAGATATTTTCCTACATTTTCTTCTAGAAGTTTCATTATTTTTCTTTATCCACTAATTTTTAAGTGTGTAGTATTGGTAGGGTCAAGTGGAATTTTTTTTCTGTATGGACTTATAGTTTACCTGTTCTTTTCACATTGCTTTGCATGGCCCCTCTGACTTAAAGCAAATTGCTCTTTGTGTGTAGATCTGTTTGGAACCCTCTGTAGTGTTTCCTTCTATTTCTTTTTCTTTTCTCTCTTTTTATTTTTTTGAGACAGAGTCTCACTCTGTCACCTACGCTATAGGGCAGTGGCATGGTCTTGGCTCACTGCAACCTCTGCCTCCTGGATTCAAGCAATTCTCCTGCCTCAGCCTCCAGAGTAGTTGGGATTACAGGTGCAGGCCACCACATCTGGCTAATTTTTTGAATTTTTAGTAGAGACAGGGTTTCACCATTTTGGCCAGGCTGGTGTCAAACTCCTGACCTCAAATGATCCACCTGCCTTGGCCTCCCAAAGTACTGGGATTACAGGCATGAGCCACTGTACCTGGCCCTTGTTCTAGTTAATTATTATGGCATTAGGTAAGTCTTGCAAGTTTTGCGTAAGTTCTCTGCTTTTTCCTTTTCTGTAATGTTGTCTTGGCTAGTCTAACTTCTGTTTATGCAGCACTTGGAGATGGACTCAAGAGTTATGACTAGCAATCCTAAGAGGGCATCAGATTTGATCCTATGGATCTTTTAAAAATTCAGATGTTCAGCCTCACCCTCTACTAACTGAAGCAGATCACACCTGCGTGAGGCTCAGATGCCTATATTTTAAAAACAACCCTTGGGCTTGTGAAGGTAGGTGAAAGCTGGGGGCCAGCAGTGTTAAGTAGGAGAGATCGCCTGGTACTGTACTACCTGCTCAGATTTGGTTACCCAGGTAGGGCTGTTTTTGCCACGACCTTGTGCTCAGACCTGGAATCACTCTTTGGGCCTCATTGTTGTCATCTGTAAAACCAGAGGGTTGGAATCAATTCTGCAAGTATTGGAGTCTGTGATCTTCCTGGTCCCGTGCCAAGGGATGTCATATGTCTTCAAAGAAGTTACAGTTTATCAGAGGAAGCAGACAAATAAACTAAGAATTTTATTACAGCATGAGAAGAACATAAAGAAACCAAAATTATAGTAGATCCTGGAATGTCTGTGGCTATGCTTCCTGGAAAAGGTGACTTTGAACTGTGCTTAATTAGCCTGGTGGGTATGGGAAAGGTCAGTAATTAGAGAGGGAAGCAGCAGGTGCAATGGCATTGGGTTAGAAAGAGAATCGTGTTTGGGGGCCTTGGTTAGAGTTTAGGGTACATGTAGAAAGATGGTGCTAGAAAATAATGACCATTTATGCCAATCTAAAGAATTTTGGCGGTGAATCCTACCATCAGGAGAATGGCATGAGCAAATTCATGTTTGAGAAAAGTCCTTTTGTAGGCACTGTAGTGAATATATGGGAAGGGCTTGAGAATGGTAGCATGCTGATCATTTGGACTATCCTAGAAATCAAGTTAAGAAGTGGGGTTCATTTCAGAAAGTTATAAAGTAGAACTGATTAAGAGAAAAGGAGGGGGAGAGGAAGTGGGAGAACTCATATCTGAGGGCCTCTATTTTTTTTCTAATTGTAAGAAGACATAGGGGGAAAATTTAAAAGAGTAATGTAAGTAAATAGAGACACAAAGAATTTCTAAGGTGAAGACCATGAATTTGTAGTGGTACCAAGATGCCTGTTTATGTGATTATCTCCTATAGTGCTCTGCTCATCTGGTTGGAAGCATGTAGCAGAGGGATGAAGGGATCCGTCAGAATGGGGGCTTTGCATGTGAAGATGCTGGAAGGACCGAGGGCTATAGATTTGAGGTACTGGAAGGGAAGTGATTGAAATGATGGACATGTGAGTCCAGGATGGACAGGAAAGGAAATGATAGCTGAACCAGCCTAGAACTTAGAAGAAAATAGAGAGGTCAGGTTGGCTAATCCAAGTTAAGATAGAAAAGTGAGTTGAATGGAGCAAAAGTTCAGGTGGAAAAATGTGATGCCCACGGTGAGTAGACACTCACCATCCATGGTGAGGCTTTTTGTCTTGTAGAGGCCATAAAGCTAAAAAGTCACAAGAACAGAACCACCAAACCACCTTACATTTTACTGAGTCACCTACTGCTAAGGCTCTGGATGGAATTCCATGTCTCCAGCTGGCTTCACAGAAAGGTGAAGGTGAGGATGGTGCATCTTCCTGGTTTTTGTACTGGAAATCACGGTCCTGGAGACATGGAAATTTCTCCAGCAGTATTGAAATGTTCAGTCTCCAGTTTTGTGGGAGCTGAGTCTTCTGGTTTATTTGTTGGGGCGGCTCTTTCTAATGTGGCATGGCTTGACACGCTGGAGTTGTATAAGTGGCAACCCCTGGTCTCTGAATTGCAAGTGGTAACAATTCCCCACTTTCCAGGTTGTGGTAGAGGTAGCAGCTCTCAGGGAAAGCTGCTGCAGGGAGGTTCTGGCCTCGATGCCACTTCCTAAGTACTTTCACAGATTTTGCAAAGGGTCTAGTATCTTGTCTTGAATTCTTTTCTGCATATAATACAGAATGGTTTTTGTTTGCTAAATCCAGTCAGAGGTATATGGCCTCATGGCTCTGTTTCAAAGACTAAATGACCTAATCTATCCACAAAACATTTAGTTCAACATGAGTACATAATAAGTACCTAATAAATAAATATTAGAGATTATTATTTAGTTAAAATAAAGGAATGAGTGAGCTGGAATAGGGAATCAATCAGAAAGTATTATATTTCATTTTAATAATTTGGAGACAGGGGTTCTAGATAATGGCAAATCCCTAAGGCAAATCCTGGCTTATGTCTGGGAGGATTGAAAACTGAGAGAAGTCTCCAAGAAGTCTTTGAAACTGAAGAGCTTACAAAGGGCAAGGTCTGGGTATTAAGACATCTGTGTACACCTGGAAAAGCGGTAATGTCTCCAGTTTGGTTTTTGTTTCAATCCCAAATTACTCCTCAGCCCAGTAGTTTTGGGCCCCTTCTCCAGTTGCTAATTTGACATTCATTTTCAGCCAGATTGTGGCATTCAGCAGTACGGGCACTCCCATCCACCGGGAGCTCCCTTCTCATTTCTTTATAAGACTTACTGATTCTCTGTCTCTGCTTACCATTTTTGTTTCTGGCGCTTCCTTTGTAATCATCACTGAGTTCTTTTCCTCTCTATGTGGGTCTTATGATTTGGGGTTCCCCGTGGTTTCAGCTGTGGTCATCTTCTGTGCTCGCTTTGCTTGCATTCAAGTGGATGATTTACAGAACCATCCATTTGGTTCTATATTCTCCATATGGCTCCCAATTCTCTTCTACTTTGAGCTTTCTTCCAAACTCCAGATTCTTTTGTCCAACAGTCTAATATATGTTCTCCTTAGACCCTCCCATCCCCTCCACTCACCCCATTCATCATGGTTAGAGCTATTTTTTAATCTTAGCCCAATAAGATCATTTTCTCCGTTTCTTTGCATTCCTTCTTCTGCCTAATAACACCTTTGCATACCTAAGCTTGGGCTGTGGAAGTCCTGCTCCCTCTGTGTATTCCAAATTTGTCATTAAATTTTGTGGATTGAGATTGCTTAAAATCATTGTTTTTTGTTTTGTACTTGCTATCCCTACTGCCCTGCCTTAGTTTAGGTTCCATTTGGCCTCAGTTTATGGAAATAAAATCTAAATTGCTTATATTTAGATTTTATCTAAAAATCTTAGATTTTATTTAAATCTAAAGGGTCTTCAGCATTGCACTATTTTAATCCTTTACTACACAGCAACTGAAGGATCTCTCTCAAACGAAAATCTGATATTCTCTTGCTCAGAAAGCTTCTGATGCTCAACTCCTCTTCAATGTTTTCTATGACAGGGCTCCTGACTGCCTCACCAGTTTTATCTCCATCATGTTCTGTACCCACTGCATCTGAGCAAGAATTCTCAGGCTATTTTGTGTCTCTGAAATATTGTACATGCTGGGTCAGGAATTTTCTTTCTGGTTCCTTGAATATATAAGGCATTCAGATGTGGACTCTATTGTACTTAATATTTTAATCTTAAATCTTGTTAGTGAGACATTACCCTAAAGATTTTGAATTTAAATCCAAGCTTGTTGAAAGTTTAAACTTTGAAATATGTTCCAGTGGATCAGAATAGAGGCAGCCCAACTTATAGCAAAGTGACAGAATGACCCTTAGCTGTCAAGGATGAACTTTAAGATGATTAAAATAGTCACATCTTGAAAGAAAGAATGAATCCATCAGAAAGAGATATAGGTGATGAGAAGGAAGGCAGCAAATCACACTGCCGTGTGTATGCAACAATCTTGCATGTTCTTCACATGTATCCCAAAGCCTAAAATGCAATTAAGAAAAAAAAAAAGAGAACTGCTCAACAGTTTCTGAGGCACAGAAAGGGAGGCCCAGAGACTGTGCCTAGCCAGGGACTATCCAGGGAGGACTGTTCAGGGAAGAGTTTTATGAAGTCCAAGGACTTAACGTGGTGCTTCGTTTGGGATGAGTGTGTGATTTATGCCTGTAATCCTAGCACTTGAGGAGTCAAAGGTGGGCAGATTCTTTGAGCCCAGGTATTTGAGACCAGCCTGGGCATCATGGTGAAACCCCGTCTCCACTTAAAAAACAAAATAGAGCATGGTGGCGCATACCTGTAGTCCCAGCTACTCAAGAGGCTGGAGTGGGAGAATCCCCTGAGCAAGAACCTGTCTCAGGAAAAAACAAAATGCCCGTCTATATCCTAAGGAAGGAGACATCACAATATCAGAGTCAGACGCCTTTACACATCTAACTCTGATTAGTAATTCCCATTTCATTTGATAAGTAGTTGTCAGAATTGGTTTCCAATACCAGGTATTTACAGGGAAATAATGTAAACCTAGGAAGTAGCATTTCACTTTATAAATGAACAAATGCTTGTTTGGCATTAATTATTTACTATGTCCTGCTGGGTGGCTCTATTCATGCTGCTCCAAGGGTGAAGAATGAAGTGTGACTCTGAATCATGCCTAGGTGAGGAGAGAACTTCACACTCGGGCAGTTAAATATTTATTTAATTAGGGGTTTGCATGTTAATTTTATATTTTGGATTGTGTACTTCCCGAGGAGAAGGACTGCATCTCAGTCTTACATGGCCAGGCCGGTCACAGTGCAAGCAAACTGCAGGAACTCAAATGTTTGAATGAACAAATGGACTCAATTAGCTAAGCAGTCACTCTGTGGAGTGCAGGTTCTTGAAGGACAGGGAACATGTTTGGGACAATTCAGAAGTGGGCCCAAGGGATGAACGAAGTGATTATTAACATGAGAATGTGAGCCCAGGACAGGACAGAGAAATGGTGAGGCTTGCCTTCTGGGTGGCTGCTGAGAGAGAAAGCTTACCCGAGACTCACTAGTCTTCTGGTTGGTTGGGTGTGAGGTTGTTGCCTTGTCCATGGAGGAGGCATGGGGAGTGTGAGAAGTGATGTGAAATCTGCCCTCCATAAACTTGGCCAGCAACCTTTGATGCTGGTTCAGCCCTTCAAATTGGATGTTGGTGAAAAACTATTTTGGATTTCTATAAAGCCCAGTGCTTGATAAATGTGGAAAGTGTAATTGGTCCCGCAATGCAGTGGGAGCAGTCATTATTCACTTGGGTTTCAGGTAAAGGGACTTGGGCCATTAAGTGGGAGTCTGCTGGGAGACATGGGTCCCTGAAGGTGGAGGATGTTCATATCCTCCTGCCAAAAACTTACCCAGGTTCAGTTTTCCTTTGTGAAGTCTTCCTTCCAACTCACATAGGCCATTCTCTCAACTCCTACTAGACTTAATGTTTGTATAACTCACTTTAGCCTGTAAAATATTCTTTGTCAAATCTGTGTATATCTATATACACACACTTGAACATGTATATGTATACACACACATATATACACATTATAAACAAACTGGGCAAGGAATTCTGCTGTGTCCATCTATCTATCATCTGTCTATTTTTCTATTTACCCACTTAGCTAGCTAACTGTTGTCTTCCAGGTGGATTGTAGATTACCCTAATTCTAGGGATCACACAGGTTTCTAAGAATTCATTGAATTGAATTTTGTTTTTATTTGCATTAGGACTGTAACGAGATTAAAGGGGAGCGATTCACTCGTTTGAAAACCAAGCTTTTTGTGAGCAACGTCTTGGCAGAGGACAGAGGGAACTACATGTGCCAAACCATACTGTTACACTCAGGGAAGAAGTACAAGGTTTTAAATGGCATCACTGTGAGCACCAGTAAGTATGTTCATGTATGCCTGTCGCCTTGTCTTCTTTTGGCTTTGTGCAAACTGGCTTCCGGCTTTGGACTTTGGGTAGGAGTGATTCTAGGTCTTGATTTTCCTGAAGTCTAGCAGAGTTTCAAACTTGCCACTATTAGAATCAGAAGCTGGGAAAAGTGAGGCAGAAGGGGTTGAGCAGCATAGTCCCCTCATCTGAACAACAGAGCGCTCAAAACTCTTGGTTGATTGGTGAGAATTAAAGGGATCATGCACATAGACTAGCTTCTGGAGTGCCTGACTAATTGCAGGTATTTAGAAAATGGTAGATGTGATGAACGTGACTCTCATTTTAGCCTAGGTCTCCCCTGCCTTGAGTGCTGCAGAGCTCAGAGTTCTGGATATGGTCCTGGGATTTCCTGCTATGCATGGGACCTGTGTTCTCAGACCAGAGCAGCCAGCTCTCTTGAACATATGCCCTGGAGGTTTGAAAGTACAGCCTTAGGGGAAGAAGAAACCCTAAAAGTAATTTAGCTCAAACTACTAATTTGATTTAATTTAAAAAATTTTCAATTTGTGTGGGTACATAATAGGTGTATATATGTATGTTCTACATAAGATGTTTTGAATACAGACATGCAATGTGTAATAATCACATCATGGAGAATGGGGTATCCATCCTCTCAAGCATTTATCCTTTGGCTTACAAATAATTCAATTACCCTCTTTAAGTTATTTAAAAATGTACCATTAAGTTATTATTGACTATAGTCACCCTATTGTGCTATCAAATCGCAGTTCTTATTCATTCTATTTTTTTGTGCCCATTATTCATTCTCACTTCTCCCCTCATCCCCCCTACTACACTTCCCAGCCTCTGGTAACCCTCCTTCTACTCTCTATGTTCATGAATTCAATTGTTTTGATTTTTAGAACCCAAAAATACATGAGAACATGTGATGTTTGTCTTTCTGTGCCCGGCTTATTTCACTTAACATAATGATCCAGTTCTACCCATGTAGTTGCAAATGGCAGGATCTCATTCTTTCTTATGACTGAATAGTACTCCCTTGTGTGTATGTACCACAGTGTTTTTATCTATTCATCTGTTAATGGACACTTAAGTTGCTTCCAAATCTTCGCCATTGTAAACAGTGTTGCCACAAACATCAGAGTGCAGTTATCTCTTCAATACACCGATTTCCTTTCTTTTGGGTTTATACCCAGCAGTGGGATTGCTGGATCATATTGTTGCTCAATTTTTAGTTTTTTGAGGAATCTTCCAACTCTTCTCATAGCGGTTATACTAATTTACATTTCCACTGACAGTGTACGAGGGTTCTCTTTTCTCCACATCCTCAGCAACGTTTGTTATTGCCTGTCTTTTGGATATAAGCCATTTTAACTGGTTGAGATGATCTAATTGTAGTTTTGATTCCTACTTCTCTGCTGACCAGTGATGTAGAGCACCTTTTCATATGCTTGTTTGCCATTTGTATGTCTTCTTTTGAGAAATGTCTATTCAGATCCTTTACGCATTTTTTGATCAGATTGTGTTTTCTTTTTCCTCTAGAGTTGATTGAGCTCCCTGTAACATTCTGGTTATTAATCCCTAGGGGTGGTTTGCAAATATTTTCTCCTCCTCTATGGGTTGTCTTTTTGCTTTGCTGATTCTTTCCTTTGCTGTGCAGAAGCTTTTTAACTTGATGTGATCCCATTTGTCCATTTTGTGCTTATGTAGTATTGCTTAAGAAAATTTTTGCCCAGACCAAATAGTGCGGATTAAGTCAGATGTTTCTTTGTTGATTTTCTGTCTGGAAGATCTGTCCAGTGCTGAAAGTGGAATACTGAAGTCCCCAGCTTTTATGTATTGGAGCCTGTCTCTCTCTTTAACTCTAATAATGTTTGCTTTTGTATCTGGGTGCTTCAGTGTTGGGTGTTACGTCCTCTTGCTGAATTGACCTTTTTATCTTTATGCAGTGACCTTCTTTGTCTTTTTTTTAAATAGTTTTTGTCTTGAAATCTATTTTCCCTAATTATAGCTACTCTTGCTCTTTTTTGTTTTCAATTGTCATGGAATATCTTTTTCCATCCCTTTATTTTCAGTCTATGTGTGTCTTTATAGGTGAAGTGTGGAAACAGTCAATGGGTCTTATTTTTTTATTCATTCAGCCCTTTTATGTCTCTTTATTGGAGGGTTTAGTCCATTTACATTTAATGTTATTAGTGATAGATGAGAACTTGCTCCTGCCATTTGTTTTCTGCTTGTTTTGTGGTCATCTCTTCCTCCTTTCTTTCCTTCCTGTCTTCTTCTAGTGAAGGTGATTTTGTCTGGTGATATGATTTGTTTTCCTGTTTTTTAATGTCTGTATTGTATGTTTTCTGGCTTGAGGTTTCCATGAAACTTGAAAATATTATTTTATAACAGATTTTTTAACCTGATAACAACTTAATATTGTTTGCATAAACAAACAAGGAAAAAAACTAATAAAAATTCTACATTTTAACTTTATCTCTCTGCTTTTTAACTTTTTGTTGCTTCTATTTATATTGTATTGTACTGACCACATCTTAAAAAGTTGTTATAGTCATTATTTTTAATTGGTTCATCATTTAATTTTTCTACTTATGATAAGAATAGTTTTACACCACAGTTACCATGTTAAAATATTCTGTGTTTTTCTGTGTACTTATTATACCCAGTGAGTTCTGTACCTTTGGGTGATTACTTACTGCTTCTTAATGCCCTTTTCTTTGTGATTGAATTACTCCCTTTAACATTTCTTGTAGGACAGTTTGGTGCTGATGAAAAATCCTTTAGTTTTTGTTTGCCTGGGAAAGTCTGTTTTTTCTTCATGTTTGAAGGTTGTTTTTGTGGATATACTATTCTAGGGTAAACATTTTTAAAATGTGTCATGACACTCTCTCCTGCCCTATAAGGTTTCCACTAAAAAGTCTGCTGCTAGATGTGTTAGAGCTCCATTGTATGCTATGTGTTCCTTTTCTCTTGCTGCTTTTAGAACCCTTTCTTTATCCTTGACCTTTGGGAGTATGATTGTTAAATACCTTGAAGTAGTCTCCTTCTGATTAAGTCTGCTAGGTGTTCTGCAACCTTCTTGTATTTGAGTACTGATATTGTTGTCAAGGTTTGGGAAGTTCTCTGTTATAATCCCTTTGAATAAACTTTCTACTGCTTTCTCTTTCTCTACCTCCTCTTTAAGGCCAATAGCTCTTAGATTTGCCCTTTTGAGATCATGCATGCATGCTTTATTGTTTTTTATTCTTTTTTATTTAATCTCTTTTGGCTGTGTATTTTCAGATAGCCTGTCTTCCGGCCTGCTAATTCTTCTGCTTGATACATTCCACTATTGAAGGACTCTGATGCATTCTTCAAAATGCCAGTTGCATTTTTTCATTTCCAGAATTTCTGCTTGATTTTTGAAAAATTATTTCAATCTCCTTGTTAAATTTATCTGATGTAATTCTGAATTCCTTTTCTGTGTTACCTTGAATTTATCTGCCTTTCCTCAACACAGCTATTTTGAAACATCACATATTTCTGTTTCTCCAGGATTGGCCCCTGGTGTCTTACTTCATTCATTTGAGGAGGTCATATTTTCCTGGATGATGTTGATGCTAGCAGATATTCTTCAGTGTCTGAGCATTGAAGAGTTAGGTATCTATTGTAATCTTCACTGTTTCAGCTTGTTTATACTTGTCCTTCTTGGAAAAGCCTTCCAGATATTCAAAAGGGTTCAAGTGTTTTGATCCAAGCTGTATCTACTTTAGGGGGCACCCTAAGCACAGTAATGCTGTGGTTCTTGCAGACTTGTAGAAATACTGCCTTGATGATCTTGGACAATATCCAGGAGAATTCTCTTGATACCAGGCAGAGAATAGTTCTCTTTCCTTACTTTCTCCCAAACAAACCAGATTCTCTCTGTCTTTTCTGAGCCACCTAAAGCTAGGGGTGATGTGACACAGGCACCCCTGTGGCCATAACCACTATGACTGCTGGGTCAGATCTGAAACCAGCACAGCACTGGATCTTACCTAAGGCCTGCTTTACCCACTCCCTGGCTACTGCTTATGTTTGCTTAGGCTCTGGTGCTCTGCATTCAGCTGGTGGCAAAGCCAGCCAGGCCTGTATTCCTCCTATTACAGCAGATTGCCACTGGTGAGGTCTCTCAGGCCCTGGGTAGATCCAGAGGTGCCATCTGGGAGTCAGGGATTAGAGTAAACAAACCTTATAAGTCTAGCAAGTGTTTTTTGTACTGCAGCTGAGCTGGCAGTGAAACCACAAGATGTAGTTCTTCCCACTTTTCCCTCCCTTTTCTAAAGGCAGAAGAGCCTCGCCATCCATAACCACCACCATTGCCAGCCACAAGGAGTACTGCCAGACTACCACAGATGTTCCTTTAAGGGCCAAGAGCTCTTAAATCAGCTTGTAGTGAATGCTGCCTTATGTGAGACTCACTCTTTAGGGCAGTGGGCTCCCTTCTGGCTCCAGGCATGTGCAGAAGTGCCATCCAAGATTCAAGTCCTAGAATCAGGGACTTCAAGAGCCTGCTTTATGATCTACGCCCCTGTAGCTGTGCTAGTACCTAAAGCGCAAGACAAACTTTTCCCTCTGCTTTTCTCAAGCAAAAGGAGTTTTGCCCTATAACCACCACGGCAGGTAGTGTGCTGAGTCTCACCTGAAGCCAGCAAGATTCACAGGCTCATGCAAGGCATTCAGTGTAGTACCTGGAAAATTGCTACTGATTATTCAGGGCACAGGGGCTCTTCAGTCAGGAGGTGATGAATGCTGCCAGGACTGAATCATTTCCTTTAAAGCAGCGGGTCCCCTTCGGCCCATGTGTCTAGAAATGTTGTCTGGGAGGCCTGGAACACGGGCTTCATGACGCTGATCATTGTCCTCTCTTGCTGTGGTTGAGCTGGTATCCAAGATGCAATATGGAGTCCTCTCCACTCTTCCTTCTCCTCTCCTTAAGTGGAGGGAAAGTGCCTCTTTTAGAGCTGCAAGCTGTGAAGTCTGGGGTGTTAAAGAGGGGTGATGCCCACACTCTCTTGGCTGCCCTAGATGGGAACACTTAGGTATATTGCATTCCCCACTCCAGTCCATTGTCTCTGGGCAGCACCAGGACTCACCTAAGAGCTGCAGTCCCTGTGGCCCAGACTGCCTCTCAAGTTGACTTCAAGACCCAGAGCACTTTAGCTTTTGGTGGTAAGATCTACGGGAGCTCAAGTGCTGATCACTGGATCAGTAATTCCCCTCTGTTGTTTTAAATGCTCCCTCAATGGGCTGGTGACAGCTGAGTTTGATCCAGTTTTCCTTTCTGCTCTAACAAGACAGCACCGAGTTCAGTGCCTCACAATTGCTGTGTTCTTCTTCCCCCAGCAACCAGCGACACTCTCAGTACCATGCCGCCACTGTCGACGATTGGGAAGGGTGGCATTGGTGATTGAGGACTGTTTTTTTCTGTCTTATTAGTGTCCTTTTCTTCGATACAGAGTTAAAGCCAGATACTATAACTGATTTTTGGTTCTGACGAAGGTGTTTCCTCTGTGTAGATAGTTGTTAACTTGATGTTCTTGTAGGGGAGACAGTTGGTAGACTCTTCTATTCTGCCATCTTGTTCCACTTTCTCTACCCAAGCCATAAATTTTACAGAGGTCCAGGAGGGGAGCAACTTATTGAAGGTCACAAAGCTGGTTATTGTCAGAAACAGAGCCAGAGCTCTGGCATTCAGTGCCCAGGCCAGCATTGGTTTTTCCAAACACACTGGGCAAGAAGTCAAGGAGCTCCTGCTGTGGTGCCTTTCGCTCTTTCTTTAGTAGAAAGTTGTTTTCCGTATTTAAGCATCTAGATGAGAAGAACTAAAGATGCTTCTTTGATGTAGACCTTCCTATTTGTCACTAGTTTCCATCTCACACTTCAGAGTACTTGGGGAGACTGAACTTTTTCTGGATGTTTTGGATCCCTAAACATGTTTGGATGGCTCCCTGCTGCCTTTGCAGGACAGGGCCCTTTACTCTGCATGGTCCAGTGACTCCCTGTCTTCCAGCTGTTCTCCCAGAGAGCTCTTCATTTCTAATCCTTCCATGTTCTTTGCTGCAACTGCTCATTTGATTTAAATATTTTTGGGTGGTCTTCAGTTTTAATTATTCTCACTAAAAGCACAGTAATTAAGAAAATTAATTGTATAAAGTGTTTTGATTTTCATGCATTTGGGTTTTATGCTGACCATTATCTCTGAAAAAAATCACCTTCCTCATCTTGCTCACAGTTGAATCCCTGGCATTGAGCCCAGTGCCTGGCCTAGACCAGGCACAGAACTATTTATTAACCAAATGATTGATTACTATAATGAATTAGTGACTGAAGGAAAATTTTGAAGGTGAAATTTGTCAGGAAAATGAAGAATCCCTTAGGAAGTAACTGGGTTCTGTAGTCTCTACTTCATGTTCAATAAACATTTATTTATGATCTGTTTTATGCCAGTATTATGGCATGGCCTGATAATTAAAAAATGAAAAGCATTGTTTCTTCTACTGAAAAACTGTCAGCCTGGTGGCGATGAATCTAGAGATTAAATCGATCATTTTAATATCATGTGCTAAGGGTAGAGTCATAGACAGTGTCTGGGGAGCAGGGAAAGAATAAGAAGGAGGCATGGGTGGCAAGCAAATGGTCTGGGAAGGCTTTCCAAGAAGAAAGGAGTTCCCAGGTGAATTTCAAAGAATGAATAGGATTCATAAAAATAAAGAATGAATATGATTCATAAAAGTGAGAAGGGGTCTCTAGGCAGAGAGAACAGAGAGAACATTATAGGACAAAGCAGGGAAGCATTATGTTTATGTTGGATCTAAAATGATTTTGTTAGAGCCTATGTGAGTATCTGGTAGGGAGGGTGAGAGCCGAGACTGTGGAGTTAAACAGGTCAAGGTCCAAGGGGCTGCTTATGCATAGGCTTTACCATGCATCCACTGAAGGCCCTGTGCAAGTGCAGAGTCCTGGGGCTGCATTTGTTTTGGGAGACATCAGTATTGAGATGGATGGAAGCCAGAGGTGACAAAGGCTTTGCAGCTTGGAGACCACTTACGAGGCTGATAAAATATCCGAAAGAGTGCTGATAGTCTCAACTTGGGAGAAGGCCATGGGGGATTTCTTCTTAAAGCAATCATTTAAGAACTCTTTGCTGAGTAGTGAACAAAGGTAGGTTCTGTGCCAGGCAGAGACAACATGGTGGTGAAGAAAACAGCCACCACCACTGCTCTGATGAAGCCTGAAGTCTGAGAGGGAGGGGAGGCAGAGATTAATCAGATAACTCACGAATAAGACGTGTAATTACAGGGAAGATGAAAGAAATGAAGAAAAGGAAAAATCTGAGATCAAACAGATGAGGGCCTGGTGAGAAGGCAGTGGCTTGGGGAAAGCTTTCTGATAATGGTGATGTTGATGGTCAGGAAGCATTATGTGGGTGATAGAGTTGGGGAGATTTTTTCCAGACTGAGGAAGTTGCAAATGTGAATGCCCTGGTACAAGAGGGAACTTGGAGTATCTGAAGAGTAGAAATCAGGGTTAGAGTGATGATGAATGAGAGAGATTATGGTAAGTGATGAGGTTGGATAAGTAGTCAGGGGCCAAGATCAAGTAGGAACCAGCAATTCAGAGTAAGTAGTATGAATTTTATCCTAAGAACAATGACAGGCAGCCAGACAGATTGAAAGCAGGAGAGTAGCATGGCTTGATTCTCATTTCTGAAACAGCAGACTGGCTGCTGTGCACAGAATGATCCATTGCAGGGTAAATCATGAAGTGCAGGTGCAGAAGTGCAGGTAAGGCATGAAGGCACAGGTAACGTGCTATCATTGAATATGGAGAGATGTGGATGGGTTCAGGGCATCTCAAGAGGTAAAAACCACAGGGTTTAGTGTTGGGCTGAATATGGGGAGAAATATGGCATGGTCAAAAAAATTAACTAGGCTTTTTGACATGTGCTATTGACTGGATGGTGATGCTATTTATGCAATAAAATGGCTCTGAAGGAAAACCAGATTTAGGAGTGAGATCATGAGTTTGGTCATTGCTACATCGAGTAGTATGAGGTGCCCTTGGATGGTGGAGACCCAGAGTAGGTTATGGCTTGTATGGACCTGGAGCTTAGAGGAAGGACTGGAGATATGACCTTCAAAGTCATTGGCCCTGAGATGATATTTGAAGAGGTGGGTGTGAATGAGATTGCTTAGAAAAAGAGTGGAAAATAGAAGGCTCAGGAATGAAGAAAAAGACAGACTGAGAAATGAGGAGGTAAAAATAGTTGAATTTGGTGATTGATAAATTGAACAAGGTGAAAGAAAAGCTGTTGCCTAGAATGGTTTTTGGATTTTACATATGTGTGTTCTAGTGGATGATGTTACATTAACTAGCAGGGGCTAACTTTTGTTTGAGACATGGTGCATTTAGTTTGTGGAATATACAATTATTATTTCCATCATAAAAGGTATGCAGTTTTGTATTTTTCCTAGCTCCTCTCTTACAACTTTTCCATATCCCACCCCAAATCTATGGGAGGAATAATGGAACTAAGTAGGTGATTGTTAAATTTTGGTAGACAAATGGGAGAAGAAAGAAGTAGAGAAACACTCAGGGATAGGGAGTCCAGGGAGTCAAAACAGGGAGGGAGACAATGCTAAAGTTTAGTGGTAGAATGAAAGAGCTGGAACAATAATAGAAGAGGAAGGGATATAAAAGAATATGGAAATGCAGAGTTGGAGGAGGAAGATTGAAACTGAAGAGGGGGAGGTAGGGAGGGATAGCCTGGGGAGAAATGCCAAATGTGGGTGAAGGGGAGAAAGGAAGCAAAACACACTGCCATGTGCGTACCTATGCAACTGTCTTGCATGTTCTGCACATGTACCCCCAAACCTAAAATGCAATAAAAAAAAAACCAAAAAAACAAAAAACTGAAGATGTGATGAACCCTCATGGATCTCTCACCCAACTTTGACAATTATCAACTTCTGGTTAAACACTTTTCATCTTTACCTCTATCTACTCCCACCAATTTTAAAGACTATTTTAAAGTAATTCAAAAACATGGTATTACGTATTTTCCCATCTATATAACATTCTTAAAAGGATGAAACTATAGGAATAGAAAACAGATTAATGGTTGCCTTGGAATAGGAACAGCATGAGGGGGTTTTTTTGAAGGTAAAACAAGAGGGTTCCTATTTCTCTCAAGCTAGTGCCTAAGCCAGACCTTTGCTTATAGCCACTGCTTGAAAAGTGTTTTTGGATTATTAAGTAATGAAATTTTATTATACAAGCTTACTAGTTTATATTATAAACAATATAATATATAGTTTATACCAAAATATAGTGGCCAAAGTGAACTCTCCTCATAGCTCAGCTTCTAGCTTTTTTTTTTTTTTTTTGGCAATTCAGTTACTTCCGATTGAAAATGTGTATTTATGGAGTGAGATTTTGCACATTATGGGTTTTGATTTTTCTTCAACAGAGTTGATTGATGGTCTGCTTTGCAGGGCTTCATGTTATTGCATCATAGTTTTTGGGAATGTATCATATGTGATTCTAATACAATTTCCTGTGGGTATGATTTCTTAACAGAAAGAGTTGAATATGGAGGAAGTATCCCTAAAATCATTTATCCAAAAAATAATTCAATTGAAGTACAGCTAGGTGAGTAAATCATTGAAGCCACTAAAATCACTCGGGGAAGAGCTTATTATGTCTGCTTATTCTGGTGAATATTTTAAACCTTAAGGATGAAGATAAATCCCATACACACCTAGTTTCCAGCTTTGGATATTCCTGACTGAGCTCATGGGGAGAGGAATCAAAATAAAACACCAGCGAGCTGAAGCCTGGAAAAGTTGTGGTGGCAGAGAAGTCTGGCAGTGAACACTATGGGCCTAAAGTGATTACTATAAATTCATTTATACAAAGGCAATGAAATGCAAATATTCTTGAAAAAGACAATACATAATATAAAAGTACTATTAAATAATGTTGACCAGGAGTTCTGGATTATATTCTCTCACACTGCAAGGTATATTAAAGGAGTGAAAAAAATTATTGTATTGTATTGCTTAATCTACATGGAAAAGGATCGACAAGCATGGTCTCGTTTGTGATCTAACTAGAAAAAAGGGGTCAAGTTATTTTTTAAAACCTAAAAATAATCACTAGCAAAATAAATATGTTGTATAACATCTGAAGGAAAAGCAAATTAAGCAAAAATCCCAGCACCTCCAAAAACAGAAAGTTATATGTGTCAAACAGTAGTGTATCAAAATACATAATACTAAAAGTCTCAGAAATATAATACATAAAACAACACAATTGTTTCAGTTGTAGCAAGAGATTTTAACATACTCTTTCTTTGAGAAATTTACTAGGAAAGTAAGATTCTATATGGTTTGAATAATAGAGTAAAAGTAATGTGTCTTATACATATCTCACTCTCAGAAACATCTATGTAAAACTCAGAGTCCAAAAGAGAAATTGTGTAGATCATGGGGTATAATCATGATGCAGTGAATGTAAAAATTTATAACTAAACCAAAACAATAAAATAATCACACTCGTTAAGTATATGAAGTGGTGGCTTTGTTAATTAGCTTGATTTAATTATTCTATAATCTAAACATATATCAAAACATTGCATTGTACCCATAAATATATATAATTATTGTCAATTAAAACTAAACAAAATTTAAAAATGTAAACAACAACAACAAAAATCCATCTTTCAATTATTGCATTTTTGGTTAGAGAACCAAAGCCATAGTTAAAGAATATTAGAAAATAATGATAGTGAAAATACTTCATATAAAATTTCATGTCGTATGCTGTACTCCAAACAAGTTTATATCTTTAAATAACACTATTATGAAGTGTAGAAATAATTAAAATATACAACTAATCATCTGATTCTATAAAAAGACCAACTAAACAACAAGAATAAAAGTAGAAAATAATGAATTTATTAAAGGAAAATAAACTAATACAGTCTGTCCCAGAGTTGGTTAAGGGCAGAAGAGTTGTGGTGGGGATGGAGGAGAAAGAAAAACTTCCGGCAAATCTAATCCCCTAAATGCAGAGACAACCAAATAGAAAACATTTAGAAATACAGGAAAGTTTATATAAAACAACAAATGATAAAGAGATGAAATCTGTTTAAAAGCCACTAGGCCCATATGTTTTTAGAATAATTCTGTTAAACTTTCAAGGAAATAATAATGCCCATAATAAAGGATAATTGTCTACACATTACTCACTATATGAATAGTCTTAAAAGACAAATTTGGCTGTTTTAGCTCTCTTAATTGACTTCCTTTCCCATTCCTGCCTTTATAAATTCTAGCCAATGTGCTTAGATAATTAAAAGGCAAGAGAGGGAGTCTTAGAAATCTTGGAGGGAGGAAGATAGACTTATAATTTGTAAAACTTGATCTATTGGTTTCTACTTAGAAATTTTAACAAAATTAAGTAAAAAACCATAATCACTAGCATTTGCTTACTAATGTTATTTTAATATAAAATAAACATTCAAAGTTAATAGAATTTTTACATGCCTAAAATAGCATATATTTTGTAATTGGGGAAAATGGCATTCACATTTGCAATACAAGTAACAAAATAGTAAGGAACAACTGAAAAAGAAATTAGAAACACTTCTCTACATGATTAAAAATGAAACATTTTAAGGTGGAACATAAAAGAATATGTGTTTTAGTGAAATTCCAAAAGATGTTTCTAAATAGAAACAGTATTAAAATGTTACTTCTCCTAGATTAATAATTCAAGTTTAAAATAATACCAATTAAATTTTACTGAATATCCTAAAACTTGTCAAAGCATTTCTAAAATTTCTGTCAAAAATGCTGGAAAAAGCCAAGAAAAATTGAACAGAAGAAAAAAGAGAGCCATTTCCTTGTCAGTATTAAAATGTATTATAAAAATATGGATCATCAGTATGTCAACAAGGTTGCTGACTAGGGGTTTCTAGCACTAATTCCCCTACAAAAGGGCCAAAATATCAAATAAATAGCTACATTTTGATTAGTGTGTCTGAAGGAGAGCAGTAGAGTGCAGCATAGAAATGATGGAGTCCCTGCGGAGCACAGAAATTCAGGATGGCTGCATAGACAGGGGAGGAAATCACCCTTTCTCTGTAACTCTGTTTCCCCCACCAAGATTGACTTGGAGCCAAAAGAAACTTCTTGCAGCAAAAGGTAAGCAGAAAACCCCTGCAACCTTCGTTAGTACTACCTGCAGTTCTCGTTACAGAAGAAATCTGCAGTCCTCATAGGCCCTGAGCTGTGTGGGAGCAGCCTGGAGTTCTCATGGCTGCATTGCTCCAATGCAGGAAACTACCTTGTGCACACCCTTATCCCCTGTGACCCACTCTGCTACAGCATGGCGCTATCTCGGAATTGTAGCTACTGTTAGAGTGAGTCCTGTTGTGGGGGCCAGTAGCCACTGCATCTCTCCACCCCCAAGGCTCTGCCATCATTCCACCATGTTCATACGAGTGGCTACAACTCCACAATCCTGGTTAATTGGAGTATAAGCCCTGTGAAGTTACTGGGATCCTCATGCTCAAATGCACATAGTGCCCTGCTTTCTGTATGGACAAGCACTGCACAATGGGGAAACTTCCCCTGGCCAGCAGTTCTACTCTGCTCACCCTCATACCCATGAGGGTGTATATACTCACCCTCAGCCTGAGAACCAGGCCAGAAGTTTTGCCATTGGCAAGGCCACACCCCTTTTCCATTGGACCTACTGTGCGTGCACACACTCCCTTGGCCTGAGAACCAACCTGGTACCCCAACACCCTGCAAAGCCATGCCACTGTCAGTACAAACTCTTGCAGCCTAGGCCACTGAGATACTCAAAGATATTACAGATGTGGATTGTAATTGAAGAAACTGCATGAAGACTACACTTCTGTGACTCTAGAACCAAAGCCAACATGCCCTATTTAACTGACATACTAGGATGCATCTACAGAAAAAATGTTTCTCTAAGAAAGCTACTCCATAAAATTAGAAGGGTGATTGTTGCCCCAGATGTGCAGCTATCAACATAGGGACACAAGAAACATGAAAAAAATAGGAAACGTGACGTCTCAAAGGAGCTCAATAATTCTCTATTAACAAACCTCAAATAAAATAAAATTTACTAAATGCCTGAAAAGGAATCCAAAATAATGATCTTAAGGAAACCCAGCTAGATAACAAGAGAATGTAAGCAAATAATTCAATGAAATCAGAAAAACAATTTATGATCTGAATAAGCGATTCAACAGAGATAGATATAAAAAAAGAACCAGAGAGAAATCTAAGCTTAAGAAGTCAAGGAATGAAATGAATGCAATTGAGATTCAGCAACAGACTAGATTATTATATAACAACTTTCTTTGTCTCTTCTTATAATTTTAAACTTTTACCTGATATAAGTGTAGCTACTCCTGGTTGCTTTTGTTTTCCATTTGCATGGAATATATTTTTTCATCTCTTCACTTTCAATGTATATGTATCCTGACTGGACCTACTGTGAGTCTGTGAGTAAAGTAAGTCTCTTATTAGGCAGCACATAGTTGGTTCTTGTTTTTTTGTTTTTGTTTTTTAATCTATTTTGCCACTATATGTCTTTGAATTAGATAATTTAATCTATTTACATTCAAGATTATTATTGATCAGTAAGAACACGACTACTGACATTTTGTTAGTTGTATTCTGGTTGTTTTGCAGATCCTTTGTTTCTTCATAAAGAATTTTGTGATTATAATAGACTATTTTAAGCTGATTACAATTTAACTTTGGTCACATAAAAATACTCTAGACATTTATCCTCCCCCTAACAGTTTATATTTTTGTTGCTTTAATTCACATCATTATAGATTATGTGTTCCTTAATAACTAATTGTGTCTGTAGTTATTTTTGAACATTTTGACCTTTAAATTTAGTACTAGAGGCTTGAAAGATTTACATAGCACCATTATAGCAGTGAAATATTCTGAATTTGATTTTGAACCTCTGCTGGTTTTGTGCTTTCACATGTTTTTATGGTGGTAATTATCATCCTTTCACTTTCAGTTGCATCATTTCCTTAGGCATTTTTTGTAAAACTGGTCTAGTAACAATAAGTTCCCTTGGTTTTTGCTTGTCTAGAAGGGACTTCATTTTTCTTACATTTCTGAAGAATAGCTTTGCTGGATGTAGTATTCTTAGATAGAAGTTTTTATTTTCATTCAACACTTTGAATATAATATCCCTTGTTCATGAACTGGAAAAATTAATATTGCTCAAATATCCATACTACTGAAAGCAACTTACAAGTATGGAAAGGAAATATTCAATATAATCCCTATTAAATGACATTATTTTGACAAAAAGAGAAGGAACAGTCCTAAAATTTGTATAGAACCACAAAATACCCTGAATAGTCAAAGCAATCTTGAGGAAAAGACCAAAAGGCCAAAAACCAAAAACAAAGCTGGAGGCATCACACTACCTGACTTCAAAATATACTAAAAAGCTATAGTAATCAAAACAGCATGGTATTAGCATGAAAACAGACACAGATCAATGGAACAGAATAGAGTCCAGAAATAAACACACAAATCAACCTCCGACTGATATTTGACAAAAGTGCCAGGAACACACATTGAACAAATAACAGCCTCTTCAATAAACGGTGATGTGAAAATTGGATATCCACATGCACAAGGATTAAACTAGACCCCTATCTTTTAACATATTCAAAACTCAACTTGAAATGGTTTAAAGACTTAAATATAAGACCTGAAACTATGAAACTACTAGAAGGAAACATTAAGAAAATGTTCATGTAATTGGACTGGGCAAGGATGTTTTTGATAAGACCTGAAAAACACAGACAATGAAAGTAAAAATAGACAAATGTGATTATATCAAACCAAAAACCTTCTGCACAATAAAAGAAACAATCAACAGAGTGAAAACACAATCTACACAATGGGAGAAAATGGTTGTTAACTATGCATCTGACAAGGGGTTAATATTCAGAATGTATTAGGAACTCAAACAGCTGAACAGTAAACAAAAATAAACAAACAAAAAACAGAACACAAATAATTTGATTAAAAAATAGACAAAAGACGTTGCTTCTGTGATTCAGAAAATATCCTGTTTTCTTGATGGGGTGAAAATGGTATAGACATTTCTTTATGATAATTCATTAACTCTACATTTCTATTCTATACTCTTTCGTATATGTGTGTTGTATTTCACAATCCAGTTTTTAAAAAAATCACTTAGAATAAAGGACACTCCTTGAATGTTACAATTTACTATACTCATGGGACAAAATCCACTGAGACTCTAAATTGATGAAATATAATTTGTGAATGCATGTAGAGGTAGGATAAGGGAAAGAGGGAAAGCATTGGGGTCACATTTATTGAAGTCAAAATATCACTGGATTCGGTGTTAGAAATCTAGAGTTAATATCTCATTTCTTCCTCTAATTACTTTGGGTCAGTCACTCCATCTATCCAAACTTTAGTTTTTGCATCCTTAACACGGCGATAATAGCACCTCCCCTTTTCCTGCCATGTAAAATTGTTTTTACATGGCATTTGTATACTTGATGATGTTTGGCAATGTATGTGTATCTGTTTACAACGGATGTCCTGGAAGTCCACTTGCTCCTCATGATTTCTCTCCAGGAAGAGAAAACGGTAGATTAACATTAGCCTGGGGGTGTATTTCTGGTAATCAAAAGGTATTTGAGGCTCGAGAGTAAGATGCACTTGTTATCCAGGTGTTAATAAATTTGAAAGTTTGTAGAATTTTCATTGAATATTGATGATTTTGGTTTTTTAGGCACCACCCTGATTGTGGACTGCAATATAACAGACACAAAGGATAATACAAATCTACGATGCTGGAGAGTCAATAACACTTTGGTGGATGTTTACTATAATGAATCCAAACGAATCAGAGAAGGGGTGGAGTAGGTGTTTTGCTTTTCTGAATTCTCTAAAAGCTATCAAGGGTTTCTCCATCTAAGTGAATCTGGTGTCACTGCTGCCTTCTCCTACTGTTTTTGCCCCTCAATGATTCATGTTATCAATTCCACCTACCACATAGTTAGAGTGATATGTATCCCTGAGAGCAGTAAGATCCAATTCTCTCCACTACTACTTAAGATTAGTCTCATTTCCATTCAGTTATATCATCAACCATAGGCCTTCAAAGCTTAATCCCCGGGGCATACTAGGCAAACACTGGAAATGACACAAATGTGTATTTTGCAACAGTAGAAGAAAGAAATAGTAGTATTGTTCATTACTATACTAAAGAAGCACCAATGGGGACTCTTAGGGAAGATAGTGCATAATCATTAGCTAATTGAATGGGTATAAACTCAAGTTATGGTGGTATAAATGGAGTGGTGTAAATAAAACTAATGAAGTCAGAGGGCAGAGGAGTTTGTGTTGGGTCCTGCAGTGTGGATAAGTTAGGATATGTAGAAAGGAACAGGGGAGGGGCCTGTGGGACTGAGGATGGTGTCTGTAGCTAACAGAACCATACATCCTTGACACCATGCAGAAGAAAATGCAAATTTGAAAATATACATTCTACATACCTCACTGGGCCAGTCAGCAGAGTATTCTTAGGATAACATGATAGTCCAAAGTGTTCTCCAAGAAAACACTTTATCTCCAGAAAACAGATTATAAAATATGTTGGGTAAATGTAACTCACGTATTAATGACTGGCTCTTTTCTTTTGTAGAAGCTATGTCTCTTTTCAGGAACGTAATTTGTACACAGTAAACATCACCTTCTTGGAAGTGAAAATGGAAGATTATGGCCTTCCTTTCATGTGCCACGCTGGAGTGTCCACAGCATACATTATACTGCAGCTTCCAGGTAATACTCCAGGGGGTTACACACTGTTCATAGTGTCCAGAATGACTGCCTGGAAACACATCTGAAGGAGGAGTGACTCTAAATGCTCAGTGTGAGGCATCAGGGTGAGATTAAAAGGACAAATTCAATATGAAATCTACAGAAAAGCTCATGCAATGGTTCATCATGTTCTTGGAGCAAGGCTGGGATTTTATTGCAGTGTATTTTAATTTTCAATACATTGAGATTTTATACATCAAAACAGCAAAAAACAAAAGCTTTTCTTTATTTAGCGTGATTGCCAGATGTTTTGCTTTTGAGCTTTTAGATTTTTCATAAATAATTTGATATAGTCAAAATGCCTATGTATGTTTTTACCATGTAACTTTGTAATTATATATAGAGGCTGAGTTCTGAATATTTAAGCAGGAAGGCTTCTGTCTGACTCAATGTGTATACAAATTACACTCTGAGCACCTTACAGAGCTAATTGATTATCCTTTGGAAGTGATAAAGTCAGTGTATAGGTAGTGGAGGGTGAAGCCAGAATCTTGACAACAACTCTGAATTCATAACATATCAGGGGAAGTGTATGAAATACCTTGCTAAATGCTGTGAGGTTTATCAAGACAGTTGTTCTTGTTGATTCTATTAATATTGTGTGTGTGTGTGTGTGTGTGCACATGCACACGTGGCTAGCTACATGAAAGAGAGAGGACTTGAATTTGCTGGTGTTCTTTAATGATCAGTTAAACTTATGCTTGCATACATCCAGCTAGAGTCCCACCAGAAATGTTTTTCTAGACCCTAACAGAAAACACAGTGGTTGCTGTATGGAATTAGCAACTGTGCCTTTGCCCTTGCCGAGCTCCTGGCCTCCCGGGTGTCCCTGACCTCCCTTAGAATACCGGTGAATAGGCATCTGCGCACGGCAGCCTGCAGCTCTGGGTGTGCACATTCTCTGCCTCACTTTTGCGTCCTGAAGTCCAGTGTCGTTCTGGCCTCAGCTGCCTTAACTCTGAGTGAGCACAGTACCCTCACCTCACCCTGGGTGCATGGGGAATCCTTGGGTTGTGTCATGTGGAAAGACCCTTGGGCTCATTTGTCACCACTGCCTATTTTTTCTCTTCTCATTGGCTTTTCCTTGTCATAAAGTGTCCCTTTCCATCACTTTTCCTCAGTCAGTCTTGTGTTTGCCATCTTTCTCTCTGGTACCTCTATGAGGTTCCGTCATCTGTGCTAATTTTCTTTCTGTGTCCTCGACCCTGTAATCTCTTTCCCCATTATGGTGTCAACTGTCATGCCCAGGCAGGTGCAAACAGATTCTAAATATCCAGCTGTGTTCTGTCTTCCCCCATGACAGCCCTGCATTTCCAACTGCATATGGGAGTGCAGGTACACTGGCTGATGTCAGAAAGCATGTTTAAACTCTCCAACCTCCTGGGTCTGTTTTTCTTACCTTTGTTAATGGGACTCCCGTATCTTTCACATTGCTCAGGCTCAAAATCTGGGATCATTTTGATGCCTTCCCTAATCCTCCCTCATGCCAAGGCCCAGTGAGTTGCCAAGTTCAGTGGATTCCTCCCCTCCTGTCCATTCCCACTAACAAGCTGGATGGTAGAGTGGCTCTTGCCCTGGACTTTAAGGCCAGGTTTTCAGGGTCAGATCCTATTTTGTCTACTTAGGAGCTGTGTGAGCACAGCACTGTCACTCAACCTCTCTGTGCCCGTGTCTCCTCACTTGTGAAATGAGGAGAATAGCATCTTTCTTCCACAACTGTTGAAGAATCAACTGGAATTTTCTTTTATACCTTTTTACTGTGGAATATAACACACATATATGTTATAACACACGCACATGTATGGTAAAAGACACACAGGATATCTGCATCATATAACAAGTCATTGTGTAGCAACACTCATGAAACTATCACCTGGAGTAAGAAAAATGCATTGCCTGAAAACCTCCTGGGTGTTCTTCCTGATCTTCCCTTCTTGATAACCATACCCCAACTTTTAGGAAAGTCATTTCCTTGAGTTTCTATTTATGCTGCTAGTCCTGAAAATACAATTTATTTTTGCCTATTTTTGAGTTTTATATTAAGAGAACTATATAGTATGTTTTATTTTCTTAGGTGTGGGGGGCTTATCAGTGTATCACTGATATAGCAGGTAGCGTAGTTCATTGATTTATGTTGTTGAATCCTATTCCATTGAATAACTAGGTCACAGTTTATCTACTGGGCTATAAATATGTGGTTTTCACTGTTTTGAGTTTGGAACTATTAACAAATAATACTGCTGTGGAAATTCCTGTTCGTGTGTCTGTGTGCCCCTGTAGAGGCATCCCTCCAGGATATATCATTGAGAGTAGAGCTGCTAGGTAAGAGTCTGTCATTAACATTTCTATATAATGCCATACTGTTCCTCAATGTGATTCACTGATATTTACCAGTAGGCAATGAAACGGAAACTCTGGCTTGGCATTCAGGGCCTCCCTGATCTACCTGTTGCCACTCATTTCCCAGTTGTCACCTTCCTCTACGCCACAGAACAGAGAGCCAGATCAGAGACAAAGGTGGCTCTTTTGTGGGCTCATATTGTGATGAAGGAGGTGATTTTGAGACGAGTGCAGAAATGTGCACTGTTTTCACCCAAGTAGAGCCTGCTGGTGTTTCCTCCCCTCTGACGCCCATTAGCTTACAGCAGAAATGCAGCCTGGCTTAGGCCAGAGAGAGAGAGAGACTCAGGGTCCACCTCAGAGAAAAGAGGGGAAGCTGTTGTAAGAAGCCTTGGAGATTCTACAAGACCTGAAGTGGTTACAACTTAAATCTGCCCCAGTCTAGAAGTTTGAGTTCTTTATTGGATAACCTAGACTGAAGCTGACCAGTGGTGATTTTCATGCCAATACTGACTTGTTGAGCTATCTGAAAGCACTGTGCTCCAAAGGATTCTGAGGCCAAGTCCAGGCTCAGAGGAGCGAATGCTGTGACCAGTTAGTTGACACTTGTCAAGCTAGTGGAGGGATGGAGTCCTTTATCCCCTTTGTTTTAAGCTCATGCTTCCTAAATCCCTTCGTTCCTGGCAACACTCATTTTATCTCAAATGTAGAGTCGTATTGGCTCTGCTGATATAGTACTGTCTGTCCTGACTGAGTTCCTAGGAACTTCACCCTCTTAAGTCCAAACCTCTTGTTGGTTTACCTGGGGACAGAGCTAACTTTACAGCTTCTCTGTTTGACTTCCTTATGTTTTTGAAGACACTTCCAGATTTGAATCTTATTTGGTTTTTCTGAAGCAGGGTCTCTAGAAAGTTGTTTAAATTGGCTTTGTTCTTCTGTGAATTTGCATATTACTTGTGCTCACCCACCATCTCAGTTGAAGGCTGTAGTAGTCAAATGACCCAGATGGTGAATACCATCATTAACCTTAACAGGACGTCTGGTACATCAACAGTGCGCTTCCCATTTATTTCTATTTCAAAGCCCCAAGTCCTGTGGACTTATTCATTAATGTCCTGTTTCCAATTTAATTATCTTCTAGCTTGTTTACAGAACAGAGGGCATCAACCCTCCTGAATGCAATGAGTAAAGAGCCCGAGAATTTTAGAGCATCGCTTCTGTCTACGTGCCAGAGGCTTTCTGAGCCTCATCAGTACTGTGGGCATAGTCTTCCTGTCGTGACAGTTAGCAATACCAAGATCTCTGAAATAGACACTGAACACTCCCAGACACAAGCCTTCCTAAAGGGAGAGGTGGCAATGTTGCCCCCAGAAGGAATTACAACAAGAGCTGGGAAAGGGCAAAGAGGAGTAGAGGATGGGAAAGCAGGAAGGATCTGTCTTATTATTGAAGTGAGAGGTTCTCACAAGTGGCCAGGATTGGATTGGACACCAGTGTGTAGTGTAGCGCATCTATACTGGCTGCACTGGGACTTAACGAATTTTTGGGCACCAAATGTGTTCTTAGTTATTGTGCGATGTATTTAAAGACGTGCAATAGTAAATGGGAAATCTTGGGCCTCCAGATGTTTACAACATGGCCTGGCCTAAGGTAGGTGGCCATAAACTCTTTGATGAGTATTTTACAGCCACTGTGGAAAACATTATGGCGGTTGCTCAAAAAAACTAAAAATACAACTACCATATGATCCAGCAATCCCACTGCTGCTTATATACCCCAAAGAAAGGACCTCAGAATATTAAAGTGGTATCTGCCTACTCTCATGTTTATTGCAGCACTGTTCACAATAGCCAAGATATGGAATCAACCTAAGTGTCTATCATGGATGAATGGATAAAGAAATTGTGTCATAGATGTACAATGGAATATTATTCAGCCATTAAAGAGAATGAAATCCTGTCATTTGCAGCAAAGTGGATGGAATTGGAGGTCATTATGTTAAGTGAAATAAGCCAGGCACAGAAAGACACATATTGCATGTTTTCACTCATATGTGAGAACTAAAAAAATTGATCTCATGAAGGCACAGAGAAGAATGGTGGTTACCAGAGGTTGGGAAGGGTAGTGGTGAAGGGGGGATAAAGAGAGGTTGGTTAATGGGTTAAAAAAAATACAGTTTGATAGTAGGAATGAGATCTAGTGTTTGGTAGCTCAACAAAATGACTGTAGATCACAATAATTTATTGTATAATTCAATATAACTAGAGGAATGGATCTGGAATATTTCCAGGACAATGAAATGGTGAATGTTTGGGGAGATGGTATCCTAATTGCCCCGATTTGGTCAATACACATTGTATGTTTGTTTCAAAATATCCCCCATAAACATGTGCAAACACGTACCCCATAAATACGTGCAACTATTATGTGCCTATAAGATTTTTTAAAAATTAAAGTACCCTATGGGCTCAGAAAAAAGAACCCCATCTTCCTCTCCTCCTCTGCCCACCCCACCATCCAGTGAGGACTGGAGGATCAGGAAGGGGCTGAAGAAGGAAGTGGTGTGTGAGGTGGGTTTTAAGAATAGAAAGGATTTTCCTTCCTCTTTCCTTCCTTTTTTCTAATTCTTTCCTTCCTAGAGGGCCTTCTTTGGTGATATGGGTTTGGGCTGTGGTAAGGCAGAAGCCATGCTGTTCCTTTTCTTGAATGTGTAGGAGCATGTTTCCAGGGACTTGAAGTTCCAGAGGAGCTGGTTCTGCTCCTTGGCTGTCTCCTGCCCACCAATTAGGCTCATAATTGCTCTGCAATGTACTCATGAAGCAGAGCAGGCTGTAAACATTCTTTCTGAGACTGTGTCTTTTGCACAGGCACCCAGCCTGGAAACTGATGGCACAGAAAGGTTGAAGCAAGAGTTTGGCTCTTGGCCTGTCTTGTGGAGTGAGTGGTGCTGGCTTCCAGGGGAGACAACTGTTGGTTCTTTCAAAATGATGGGAGTCCAGCTGTGCATCTTTGAGTAGCTGGGAAAGCAGTTATAATAGGATTGTCATCAAGAACAGACAACAGAAACAGCTATAGAAGGTGCCCTATGAACATACTCACCCTTCATCTCTGGACAGTCTCATGTTGACTCAGCAGAACCTGAATATGTGTGTTTTGAAAGCAGTCCTCACGTAGTTGGGTCCATGCTGCATCTGCCACCAGAAACTAGGGCTCTGCAGGCTTTTACTCTCATAGGTTCCCAGGAGCTGACTTGTTTCCTAACAATCATGGTCCAGATCAGATTATTCTGCTCCCATACCCCTTATTTGGCTTTAAAGAAATATTTAAGCTGTGCCCTCATTGACATCCAATACCTTTCCATTTGGCGTTCATAACGTGATCTATATTCGTAAAGAATGTAATGGACTCTTTGTATCATGATCATAATTATAATTGTTTTATTTTTTTGCTGTCATTTGTAGCTCCAGATTTTCGAGCTTACTTGATAGGAGGGCTTTTTGCCTTGATGGCTGTGGCCGTGTGTGTTGTGTACTTCTACAACATTTTTAAGATTGACATTGTTCTTTGGTATCGAAGTGCCTTCCATCCTACTGGGACCGTAGAAGGTAAGTGTGTGTAATCACTGAAAAAATGTCTCAAAATTGGCAGCCTCTTATACATATACAACTGTTTCAAATATACTTTGGTGTATTTTACTAAGCTGTTGGCAAATTTATGGAAAGGAATCTCCTTGGAACTGCCTATGCTTTAGAGAAATGATTTGTCCCTAATCACCAGCATCATCATTTGGTCAGATAAGGTTTAAGGCTCTTGTGATTGAGGAAATGTTTGCTAAGCAGCAGGAGGAGATCATCTTCTACATCCCGCTGCAGCCATGTTACAAATGTTTCCACGTCCATCCTCCATCCACTGAAGGAAAGTTTGTCCAAGAGTAAAGTCCTCTCCATCCATGATGTGTGCTCAGCACAGTGGGTGCTTTTGTAGAATCTGTTTCATGGAGAGGGATGAGCTGCCTGCAGTTGGAGCTCTCTCTAGGCCCTGTACTTGGTGCCTGAGGGGATTTAAGTCTTCAACTCTCAGATATGAAGAGAGATCAACCCAAGTTTGAATGTGACTTCTCTACTTACTTCCTGTGTAAACTTAGAAAGATATTTAACTTTTGTCTTTTTCTCAGTTATAGAAAGGAATAGAGGAAGGAAGGAAGGAGACAGGGAGGGAGGAAAGAAAGATAAAGAGATGGAGGAAAGAAGGAAAGAAGGGAGGGAGGAGGGAGGGAAGAATGGAGGTTGGGAGAAAAAAGGAAAGCGATGGGGTGGTTAAGGGAAGAGAGGGAGGAAAACGGGAGGAAGGGAAAAAAGAAGGAAGGAGACCAGGCACGGTGGCTCATGCCTGTAATCCTAGCACTTTTGGAGGCCAAGGCGGGTGGATCAGAAGGTCAGGAGTTTGGAACTCGCCTGGCTAACATGGCGAAACCCTTTCTCTACTAAAGATACAAATAATTAGCCGGACATGGTGGCACATGCCTATAATCTCAGCTACTCAGGAGACTGAGGCAGGAGAATTGCTTGAACCTGGGAGACAGAGGTTGCAGTGAGCTGAGATTGCGCCATTGCACTCCAACCTAGGCAACAGGAGTGAAACTCCACCTCAAAAAACAGAGAAAGAAGGAAAGGGAAAGTGATTAAATCCTGCTTTTTGACAGTGGGAATAACTGAGTTGAAGTACAAGGAAGCATTCAGCTGCGTTGTGGGGCACAGGGCAACTTCTATGGCTTGTCTGGAGGTAGGAACAAATCCCCATCACCACAGCTGTGGGTTTGTCTCCCTGCCAGTGCTGTTTGGCAGGGAAACGCCTCAGTGTGATCCTGACTCCTGAGAGCCTGGCATTTCCCGCCATGGTGGTTGTGACTCTTCATGCTACTTGGTCTTGTTTTGTTTTGTCTCAGAACAGACACAGTTTATTAAGGCCTTGAAAAAGTAATAAATCTGCTTTAATGTCCCCTAATTAGATGGAAAAATAAATATAAGCCCAAAGAACCTCGTGCAGCTGAACCTGTGTGGAGATGCACAAATTTATACCTTTTAAGTCCAGAGGCTTGAGTGACAAGAGCAGGAAAGGGAGGGAAACGGGGTGTCCAAGAGTGTTTTATGGGCAGCTAAAACATAAAAGAGGTCACTGGCGTCAGGTGCCTGCTTTGCACATAAAATACGTGGCACAAGTTGTGATCCGCATGTTGGATAAAACATAGATATTCTAACTTGGACTCATTCCTAATTCAATTTCAGAATTCAAAATTAGCAACTGGAGCAATGTAGAAAGCAATTAACTCCTTTTTCATTACAAAAGTCACCTGAACCTTGAGTGTCCAGTGTAACCTGAATTGCTTCTAGCACTGTGGATAGTCCGACTGGGCATGAGGGGGTCTCTGTTTTTGGCTCTGGCCTCTGCAGCAGCCACCCTGTCTAAGCACACCCATGTCTTTGAGAAGAAGACGGTTCAGTCCCCCACCACTTACTGTTTTCTGACACAGATGTGAGTGGTTCAGTTGCTTTCTACTTTTTGACTAACAGAAGGCTGTGTCACTTTGCGTATTCTTCCTGGAAGCTCAGGCCCCATAGCATGTCTCTCTCACGATCTCTCTCTCTCACTGAGTCACTGCGACTCCCAGGAGCGTGACTACAGCTGTGACTTATGGGTGTTGTGCAGAGTGTGTGGGGAGGCTGCTAGTGAGGTTGAGTTTAGCAGGAAGAGAAAACAGGAATAGCGACTCACGCTGAGTAGTGGGGGCTGGGCAGATGAGAGAGTCAGGCAGCCCCGCCCTCTGACAAGACTGGGACGTAGCCCAGATTCTGCACCAGTGGGAAGAGGATTTGGCAAGGGAGGCCGACAGGCAGCCAAGGGTTCTTCTTTTCTTTATTTTTATTTTGCTTGATTCAGGAAAGTATGTGTGCATTTTGTGATGAAATTCTCTACAGCTCCGCCTACGAGAACGACCCTGTAATATCTCTGTGTGTTGGCTTTCACAGTGAGCTACTAATGAGACTCTGAGATTAGTCCCAGATCCTGTTTATGTTCTTGTTCCCTTTAAGGATAGTTTCTGAGGTAAATCAGGAAATACCGATTAACAGATGAAAATGAGGAAGCGAGAAATAATGTCCTTCTTAGGATGAGTTGTTTATCCTGACTGGGTTAGCTAAGCTTCATCACTCAATTAATAATTTGATGTGCATGACTCACCGTTTTAGGAGGAGCCATTGACAGGCCTGGCTGAAGTCAGCAAGTTCTGTATCTTCTCTAGCAAGCGACTGGAGCTTTGAAAATTCTCCTGGCAGGGGTGCATGTGTGTAGGAGGGCGGAAGGGTCTGTGTACACATCTCCTAGAGAGATTTCAGTATGCCTCACCCTACTCCAAATAGGTCTTTGGAGAATGTGCATGTAGAATAGAATGGTAAAAATGAAGCCAAGTCAAATAGATCCAGTGAACAAAGGGAAACCAAGAGGACAACAGGAAAACAAGTCAGGGTAGAGTGAATGACATCTTTGACAATGATTAAAGGTGAATTTCTTTCCAAGCTAAAGCAAAGGCAACGACAAGATCCACTGTGTGCTGTTCACAACAGCCTTTCAAATTTTCATTCAAGAACATGGCTGGTTCTGAGACTAATTTCCAAAGGCAGATTTTGTTTTTTTTCCATAGGGAGTCCTCATTTCAAAAGGGCGTGGTGTAGGGAAGCTTGACTGTAACAACTTTCCCTTGGTAAATGTAACAGCCCGTTTTGTGTGGAGTTTCTTCTAGTGTTTTCTATGCCTGTTGGGGCTAAACCCACCAAACCTCCTGCAGTTCAGTAAAAGCATTTGTGTGAAGACCAGATTGAATCTGAGGTTTCCACTATTCTGGTTTGATCAGGCCTAAAATTGAGAGAAAGTAGGAAATTGAATGATTTTTAGGTAATATTTCATAAATATTAATTTCTGTGAATGAGCTTTTACATACTTTTGCCAAGAGTCAAGAAGGACATAACAATTTTAAGGGAGTAGAAATAGACTCTGTGTCTTTATGGGGGTGTGGCAAAGTTTTAGAAGAACATGCGGGACTGGAAATGTTGCTGGGGCCACTTCTGGAAAATTCAGACTGGCACAGTTGCACAGGACTAATCAGGGATACGTTTTGTGAAATTTCCTGCTCCCGTTTCTCATTTTAGCCACAGCAAAAGGAACGGTGGACCTGGGTTTAGCTCAAGGCTATGCACTCACCAGCCGGGAGACTTTGGAGAGATTGTGCAGCCTTGCTGGTCTCAGCTTCCTTACTCATAACCTGAAGATACAACCATGTCCCACACAGTTGGTCATGAGAGGCAAAGCTGGGAAATGTTGAGGTGCTGTTGCCTGGCAAGGCTCTTCAAAATCAGTAGCCTGATGCAAAAAGCAAAAGACTACTACTTGATCTTTTGCTATTAATATATTGGTCAGTAAATTATGAATTAGTCATTTGAAAGTGATGAAGACTCACTACATCTTGAGAACATCAGCAAGTTCTATTTCTTTTCAAAAGCTTAGTTAGACAGAAAGAAAAAACAATAATCCAAAAAATTGGGTGCATTTGTATATTTTGAATTTTTAAAAGATATGAGACTTTTTTGCTACTCAGATCTCTTCTGATCCTGAAGCTGGACAGCACCAAGTACCTTTATCCTCAGACACCTTGTTTAGAAAGAGGAAACATTTGTAAAAGAGAGAATACACTTAGCAGACATGGTTTATTTGTTTTTTAAAAAAATCAGAAGCAGTAGGAAAAAAAGGAGAAACAGATTGAGAGAAGAGACATACTTGTGGCAGGGCCTGAGGCAGGTGGCAATAAGCCAGCATGTCTGGTGTAGTTTAGAAGTGTAGAAAAGACCAGGAAAGACCGTATTTACTGGAGAGGCTGTTCTCTGTGGTGAACCCAGCATCAACTCACCAAGCCCTTTATCAGAAACCAAAGGATAAATACCACATTTTTAAATGGGAAAATTAATTTCTTCTCCAAAATTCAGAAACATAAGAACCTTATGAAATGTTTCTTTTTCCATCTTCTATCTACAGAAAAAAAAAATCCTCTGGCTTTGGAGAGTCGAATGTGTGCCATGAAATTTTACACGGAAACATATCCACTTATTTGAGTGGTGCTCCCAATCAGTGACCCTTAAGATTCCACAAGGAGTTTTAGTTGTGTTGGGTTTTTGACAAGTCAAGACACAAATTAGTGATTCCTTTTATACCTGCCCTGTGATCACACTTTAAAAAGCTGAGTCTGACCTCAACTTTGTCCCCACCATAGATATAAGCTCTTTGAGCCTCCTTAAAATCAAGCTTCATTTGGACATTTGGTGAGCACTGATGGAGGCCTCCTCTGAACCCAGTCCTGCTCCAGGGTCTGAGGGTAGGGCAGGGAGCCAACAGTCTCCACTCTCACACAGCTTCTTTTCGTGATGGGGTGGGGAGGCAGAGAAGGAGTGTGCACATGTGTGCATGTGTGTGTGTGCATGCATGTGCATGACTGCATGTGTACATGTGTACATGTGTGTGCATTACCATTCTCCATAAGAGATGGCCGAGAATGGTGAGCAGGGACCTGACGATCAGCAGTGGTAGGTGTGAGAATTGATGGAATGAGAAAAGGTGATATGTAAACTGTCAAGATCTGTGCATGTTTTTATTTCTATTATTTGGAGAAAAACTGGAAGAGTACAAGATTTTCCTTTCCCTTGTTAATCGTAGAATCACCCCTTTCTCCAAGTCTATTCATCAAACAACCTCTCATGAAAAGGGGATAGAAAAGGACACCACCCCTCTCTAGTACCTACTAGACTGCCTAAGTTTCTAAACAGCCTAAAGCTCGAAATCGTGTTTTCCAATGAGACACTCACACTTACCTCTTCTTCCACTCAAGCCCTCTGGTCCTGCTAAAGTTCCTTATTCATTCACACGATTCATGAGTAGGGAATTTTTCCTCCTTCCATGTCCTTCTGATTACGCTCCCCTGCAAGCTTGTTTACCATCCACTCTGAGACCCGTACTTTTTTTCCTAAACTCTCCCAGCCTTTAAAATCCAGGCGCTGTCCCATTTTCATTGTGAATTTTTTTTTTCAAGAACCCCAGAGCATGGGGGTTTTCATTTCTTCCTGTCTTTTCTGCTGGTTTGGCTCTTGTCGCCTCGTAATGCCTTGTGTTGTTTCATCTCTGTGCATATGAATGGTCTGCCCAGTTAGGTCTGTGTCTTGTTCATCTCTGCATTGATCAACATGGGGGCTGCTTTTGAGGTTGCTCAATAAATACTGATGCTGATGACATGCGCCTTTGGGTTTGTCTTCTCTCAACAGCACTGCGGGTTACTAGAGTCTGCTCAATTGCTTGTGCTCTTGTTTCACAGACGTGAGTCTGTGGGTTTGTAGTGATGGAATTCACTGGTGGTTCTGAATCAGGAGGGAGTCATCCCATTTTGCCTGGTGCAGTTAGGACAGTGCTCCGTCATGCAGGACACGCTGAGGGTAACATGGGTAAATGGGTAGAGTTTCCTGTTTTTGTTTGTTTTAGAGATGTGGTCTTATTCTGTTATCCAGGCTGGAGTGCAGTGGCATGATCATAGCTCACTGCAGCCTTGAACTCCTTTTTTTTTTTTGAGACAGAGTTTCACTTTTGTTGCCCAGGCTGGAGGGCAATGGTGTGATGTCGGCTCGCTGCTACCTCTGCCTCCCAGGTTCAAGCGATTCTCCTGCATTAGCCTCCAGAGTAGCTGGGATTACAGGCGTGAGCCATCATGCCTGGCTAACTTTTAAAAAATTATTTTCTTTGGAGAGTCTTGCTATGTTGCCCAGGGTAGTCTTGAATTCCTGGCCTCAAATTATCCTCCTGCTTGAACTTCTTTATTACAGGCATGTGCCACTGCGCTGGACGAGTCTCCTGCCTTTAATTCTCATTTCTGGCCACATCACGGGGGGGTGGTGGACTCAGAATCAGAAGACATGGGGCGGGGTTACGAATTGCAAATGTGATGCAACCTACCCAGCCTCAGCTTCACTGTCTGCAGTGAGGATAAGACCATCTGCCTCAGGGGTCCATCTGTGAGAGGAGATGATGTTGCTTGGCAGCCCCTGGCACCAAGTCAGCCCAGCTGGGCACGTTGAAGTCATGGAATCCAGGCCGAAGGATAGCACGGTAGCCACTCGGGCTTCCGGTTTGTTCACATGAAAGAATTTGGTAGCAGCAATTCCACGAGCTTGTCCGTTTCCTTTCCAGACGGGAAGCTGTATGACGCCTACGTCTTATATCCCAAGCCCCACAAGGAAAGCCAGAGGCACGCTGTGGACGCCCTGGTGTTGAAGATCCTGCCAGAGGTGCTGGAGAGACAATGTGGATATAAGTTATTTATATTCGGCAGAGATGAATTCCCTGGACAAGGTGTGTTTTAAGTGAGGTATAAAAATAACAAAAAAAGGAAAGTGACCCCTCTTTTCCTCCACTTTACTAATGGCGGTGACTCTGCTGGCCTTCCCCATGGAACCACAGGACGTCTATGAGCAGCGCCCCCTACCTGCCAGCCCCCAGTCCCCAGTCCCCAGTCCCCAGCCCCCAGCCCCTAGCCCCTAGCCAAGGAGCTTGGGCCCAAGCTTGCTGCCCGCTCTAGGCTCCTCCCTGCCACGCAGTGCCTGGGATTCCTGCTTGCAGCAGCACGCGTCTTACTTTGAGTGAGGATATGGTTAAACCATTCGCTTGAACAGCTGGCAGTGACGAAAGGTGGCAAGTGGTCATTTGCCCTCATGTCCCTAAGACAAACTGCTGGGTGGTTTCCCCATTGGTTTGAATATGTAGATCAGGTAGTGCTTAAAGCTGATTATAAACCTCAACCCTACTTGCCTTTCCCCTCCCTAAATACAACGGAAGTTTTAAGTTTACTTTTCCCATTTGAAGAAGGTGGCTTTGCACAATTCAGTTATCATCTCTGAACCTCAGTTGTCTCATCTGTAAAATGGGGAGAGGGATGCTTCCCTGACTCAGATTAGAGACCTGAATGAGAAAACCTGAGAAGGAAACCCCGGCATGGAGCTCAGCACACCTTAGACACACAACCGTGCCTTCCTGTCCCTTTGTTCTCCTTCTTGGAAGGCTACACAGCAAAATGGCTGAAATCTGAAATAAACTTTTTTCCTAGTCACCAGCAAATGTCAGTTCGCTCACTTATTCAACAAATATTTACTGAAAACCTCTATGTGATGGACACTATTCTAGGCACTAGAAAATCAGCCAAGCAAAAGGGCCTGTCCTCAGGGAGGTTCCAGTCTATTCTTATTTCCTATGAGAGGTAACCTTAGACTGAATAGCATCTGCAGAGCTGGGAATTTAAAGAGCCCTCCCTTCCCCAAGCAGTCATCAGGACATGTAATTTGGTTTCTAAATTAGTCACATCAATCCTGGTCATTTAAATAACTATAAAGAACAAAAGGAAAACACAGATTCAAGATTAATGCAACATTTGAGCTAAGTATGCATTTCCTATCCTTTTAAAATCTATTTTTAAAAATGTGCTCATCTGCTAATGTAGAGCAGACCTTCAGTGAGTCTGGGAATACAAAGTCAGGCATCATCAGATATTTGTTGGCCAGGGAAAGTGACATACCAAGAAACCACATGCAAAACATGATTCATGACTACAGAGGACCAATGCTTCAGGGAAAGCCACAAAGTCTTCACAGAAGAGGTGGGAAATGTTAAAAGAAAAGAAAAGAAAAACTCCAAAAATTTGTATTAATTCACATTGGGAGGCCAAGGCAGGAAGATTACTTGAGGTCAGGAGTTTGAGACCAGCTTGTGGTAAAACACCGTTTCTACTAAAAACACATAAATTAGCTGGGCATGGTGGTGCGTGCCTGTAATCACAGCTACTTGGGAGGCAGAGGCAGGAGACTCGCTTGAACCTGGGAGGCAGTGGTTGCAGGGAGCTGAGATTGTACCACTGCACTACAGCCTGGGCAGCAGAGTGAGACTTCATCTCAAAAAAAAAAAAGTCCATTTTCTCCTCTCAGAGCCTGTTTCTAATATTCTCAGAAGCATTATGACCCTGGCTGTTTTAATTGTGAGCTCTTCTGAGCCTTCTTTCTTTATTTCCAGCTGTGGCCAATGTCATCGATGAAAATGTTAAGCTGTGTAGGAGGCTGATGGTCATCGTGGTCCCTGAATCGCTGGGCTTTGGTCTGTTAAAGAACCTGCCGGAAGAACAAATCGCGGTCTACAATGCCCTCATCCAGGACGGGATGAAGGTCATTCTCATTGAGCTGGAGAAAATCGAGGACTACACAGCCATGCCACAGTCAATTCAGTATATCAAACAGAAGCACGGGGCCATCCGGTGGCAAGGGGACTTCACAGAGCAGTCACAGTGCGCAAAGACCAAGTTTTGGAAGACAGTGAGATACCACATGCCGCCCAGAAGGTGTCCACCGTCTCTTCCAGTCCAGCTTCTGCAGCACGCGCCTTGCAACCGCATGGCAGATGAGTGAATGGGAGGAGGACACGAGGTTCGCTGTGCACTGATGGGGTGTTGTCATTGCTCAGTGGCTCACAGCTGGAGGAGGACACATTTCATCGGGGCTCACCGCTCTGAAGCTGGCAGTTGCATACTAGTGAGCGGGTCTGTTGTGTTTGTTGCCATTTGTTTGCTTTGATCAGAGCTGCTGCTTCAGGGAAAGACAGGGCTTCTGCAGAAGGTCCTCCTTAGCCTACGGGCTCATTGACACGCTTGAGCACTCATGAAGCCCTGGGTGGCTATGGCGCTTGGGCCCCTTGGAAATGGGACACAGAAGGTTTTTAGAGATGGCAGTGGACATGCCCGAAAGTTTGCCCATGATAAGGCACCCATGGAGTCTGAGATGGGAGCCTACACTGTCAGGGGACGAGAGAAGGACAGTTTAGCACCAGGAGAGGATTGGCAAGGATAGTAGTATTTGTCCACAGCTGTCCAGTGTCTGCAGGGCCTGTGCTCAGGTGTCATTTGCTGTGTCTGCGTCTCTCTCACTCTGTTAGTGTAGACAAAGAGCTGTGACCACAGCCTTAGCATTTCGCTTCCAGAGAGAGTTAAAAGTCACCTGGACCAGTGGGGACCCACAGGTGTGGCCATGACTACCTCTTGGTTACCGTCCCAGTAAGCCCATGACTTGAGACGCTTTATCTGCCAAACCAAAGCAAGCAAGAATTCCTTTCCTTTTCCTTTTAGACACATGTCAGCCAGAATTCTGAGCAGCCTGTGAGACATGCAGTTAGCACACAGATGATAGGATTCTAGTCCCAGCAAGGCAGGGTCGGTTTCCAATGAGCCTTGCCACAGGCCAATTTATAATGTCATGATTCACAAAGAATTTTGATACTAACGATCAGCTGTAAACCCTCATCACTCTTTTCTAAGATCCTGTGTTGAGGGAATTAGGCATAGCGCAACCCTCTGGAGCTGTGGCTGGTGACACTGAGACTTAGTAAGCAGTCAGTGGGGCCTGGAAGGGAGTCAGCCCCAGGAGCTAGCCGGCGGGGATGGGAGCAGGAGTGAGAAGGTGTCAGGAGGCCTGTGGCCCTGGGATGGCGTGGGGAGCAGGGTGGGTTGGGAGGCGCTATGCCTTCATTCACAGGCAGTGGGTGGTGCCCAGTGTTGGATGGACTCTCTGGTGCTAAGGAGAGCACTCCTCTCTGAAGAATTTATGTTCCAAGGTGATTTCACATTACACATTTATTTAGAATCCTTCAGAGGCCCCAGCTTGACATTAATACCCTCTTTTTTTTAACATTTGCTTTTTAAAATTTTTATTTCGGTAAAATACATGAACATAAAATGTACCATTTTAATAATTTTTAAGTGTAGAGTTTAGTGGCATTAGGTACATTCGCACTGTTGTGTGGCCATCACCACCATCCACTCCAGAATTGTTTCATCCTCTCCAGCTGAAATCCTGCACCTATTAAGCTACACCTCCCCATTGCCTCCCCTTTGCTCTTAGATAGGACATAAAATGCATTTTAAGAATAATAACATCAAAAGTGGCTGCTATAACTCATTAATACTCTTACATTTTTGATACTTTTTAATAAAAAGAAACTAGAGACACATATTGAAAAGAGGGAAGCTTTTTGACTTATACAACTCCTGTTAAAGAATTCACCAACAGTGCTGGTCTCCTATAAGTCAGAGGTTTCCAGAAAATACCTTTTCTTCCAATGGGTCGGCTTTCTGTTTTGCTGACAACCTCAAATGATGTCCTGTGAGTGTGGTCATTTGCTTACAAATAATTAATTGCTCGAGAATCTGTTTTCTAAAGTTCACAGGCGCACCTTTCGGAGAGGACATATCCCAGCGTCTCTCCCACTCCCCTTCACTGTGGCTGCCTCTGGCTCCCTGCATCCTACAGAGGGAAATGGCTGGGAAGGAAGGGGGCAGGCTGCTGAGATGCCTTCGAATTGGAATGGGGTGGGGGGATTTCCCAAATTCTCACCAGATCACGAGCCAGTGACACTCACCCATTACGGTCTACAACTTACAGCACAGGGGTTAGTCAAATGGCCAGAGGTGGTGCCCACTGCCCTCAGGGGGGGTTCCCTGGTGTGACCTGGTCTCAAACACACTCCACAGAAGGAAGGGTAATGCCCTCAGCCACCCCACAGCCACCCTGCCCTCCTCCAGTACTACAGGCCACCTCCAGAGGCCTGCTCCAGTACTACAGGCCCAGAGAAGAAAACAGCAGTGATTGAGGGGACAGAGTGCAGAACAGATCAGCAATGCTCATTTTCCTCTTTAGGTGCAGCAGGAGAAAGAGCCTGCTTTAACTAACTAGCAAATCCTCCATGAGGAATTATGACTCCCATGGTGGAGAGAGAAATCAAGATGCAAAGAAATTTTTAAAAAATTTCTAATGAAATAATAGGGATGCAATGCAGCAAGAATACAAATAATTAAAGTATCCTGGAGTCACCAGACGTGTAGGCAAGTTTGCAGGTGACAGCTCTGATGATGGTCTGGAGTCCAAATTTGCATAAAAAAGAAGGTTTAAGGGTTCAGTGGCTCCGGGCCAACGAGGTAGCTTAGAGGAAAGCTGACGGCCACCCTGAATTCACTCATTTCCCAAATGGGCTTGGTGCAAATATGAGGTCAATGGGATCCTATCCCTAGTCCTCGGGGCGTAGGCTCCAGAATTCTAGTCGAAGCAAAGTGAAGTCAGTAACCAATGAGCCAGTGTGCCCTCAACACAGGCCAATTTATAATTTAATGATTCACAATGTTTTTTAATACTAAAAATTAGCTGTAAACCCTCATCACTCCTTTCCAAGACCCTGGCTTAAGGGAATTAGAGATTGCTCTGGGAATCCCCAGGGACTGACCTGCATGCAGGCAGGGCTGAGAGAGGGGATAGCACCAGAGAGCTAAAATACAGGTGCTGAGTCCCTGGGTTACCTTTCCATTCGCCTTCCCATAATGACTGAGTCAGCCACAAAACCCACTTCCTTTGATATCACCCCTCAAATACCCTGAGACAGCTCATGAGAAAAGTCCTGGAAGAGAACAAGTCACATTAAGTAAAGGGCCTGGGAAGGTGTGGTCTTTCCCTGGAGGACCAAGTGAGATGAAGATATACATGCGAGAATGCTTGGCAGACCATGGGAGGCGGTGAGGAGCTGGCCTGCCAAAATGTGGAAAGTGCTCAGGGAGCCTCAGCCCCCAGGACCTCCCACACCCATCAGGACCCCACAGAGACGCAAACCACTTCCTGCCGTGCCACGGTTGGTTGACCTTTCCTTGGCACTTGGTCCTGTTCCATATTTACAGACTTCCCTCCTACACATGCTTGTTTGATTATTGATCTGGGGCTGTGTGGAGTGGAAAATTCCTTCCTGGTTTCCTTGTAAGAACAGAGGCTGCTCCGGATGAAGTCTGGAATGAGCTACAGAGGGAGCTCCTGGCTCTAGGCACAGTGGCTGCTGGATCTGAATGGTAGAGGCCACACATCTCCAATAGTAGTACTCTCAGACAAGGGAACTCTGTGTGTGGATGTCCCTTCCCGTACACTCAGGGACTTGTGAGAAACACTGCTGTTCCCTCATGCAACTCCTCCCTCATCTCCCAGGCTGTTTCTGGAGATGGGCTTTCCACTTGAGAAGGACCTCAGAACCCCGGCTCTTGTCGTCCAAATTCACCTTTCCTCTGGGGGCTCTCACAGTTGCCACTGCTCACCTGTGATGCTCTGGCATTACCACATTATAAAGATAACCCAAGAGAAATGGAAGCCGCAGGGATACACCACGAGACGAACTGACTGCGAGGTGGAGATTTTCACATTCCCGTGGCAGGTTTTCCTCCTCAGTCCCCATCTCCCACCACATCAGAAAGGGAGAAAACAGATCTTTCCTGATTTCAGGCCCAAAACTAGGCTCCAGAAGAAAGAAGGGTACTCTCACGACCGTCTAAGACTTGCTGGACTGACACCTATGGTCGGAAGACGACTTATTTCGCTCCACATCGCCTCATTTCTACACCTATTTTCTGCTGCAGGATGAGGCCGCGGTTGGCATTCTAGACACCTGGTTGAGCTCAGGCTTAGAGAAGAGGAGGAGGGGATGAGAGCTGGGGGCATCGTCATGGTCATGGTGGATGAGATCTGGGGGTTGTCTTCATGGTCATGGTGGGTGAGAACTGGGGGTGTCTTCATGGTCATGGTGGGTGAGAACTGGGGGCATCATCATGGTCATGGTGGGTGAGAACTGGGGGCATCATCATGGTCATGGTGGGTGAGAACTGGGGGCATCATCATGGTCATGGTGGATGAGAGCTGGGGGTTGTCTTCATGGTCATGGTGGGTGAGAGCTGGGGGCATCATCATGGTCATGGTGGGTGAGAACTGGGGGCATCATCATGGTCATGGTGGGTGAGATCTGGGGGTTGTCTTCATGGTCATGGTGGGTGAGAGCTAGGGGTGTCATCATGGTCATGGTGGGTGAGAGCTAGGGGTGTCTTCATGGTCATGGTGGGTGAGAACTGGGGGCATCATCATGGTCATGGTGGGTGAGAGCTAGGGGTGTCTTCATGGTCATGGTAGGTGAGAACTGGGGGCATCATCATGGTCATGGTGGGTGAGAGCTAGGGGTGTATCTTCATGGTCATGGTGGGTGAGATCTGGGGGTGTCTTCATGGTCATGGTGGGTGAGAACTGGGGGCATCATCATGGTCATGGTGGGTGAGAACTGGGGGCATCATCATGGTCATGGTGGGTGAGAGCTGGGGGTGTCTTCATGGTCATGGTGGGTGAGAACTGGGGGCATCATCATGGTCATGGTGGGTGAGAACTGGGGGCATCATCATGGTCATGGTGGGTGAGATCTGGGGGTGTCATTATGGTCATGGTGGGTGAGAACTGGGGGCATCATCATGGTCATGGTAGGTGAGAACTGGGGGCATCATCATGGTCATGGTGGGTGAGAGCTGGGGGCATCATCATGGTCATGGTAAGTGAGAACTAGGGGCATCGTCATGGTCATGGTGGGTGAGAACTGGGGGCATCATCATGGTCATGGTGGGTGAGAGCTGGGGGTGTCTTCATGGTCATGGTGGGTGAGAGCTGGGGCATCCCCATGTCACGGTGGGTGAGAACTGAGGGTGTCTTATGGTCATGGTGGGTGAGAGCTGGGGGCGTCTTCATGGTCATGGTGGGTGAGAACTGGGGGCATCATCATGGTCATGGTGGGTGAGATCTGGGGGTTGTCTTCATGGTCATGGTGGGTGAGAGCTAGGGGTGTCATCATGGTCATGGTGGGTGAGAGCTAGGGGTGTCTTCATGGTCATGGTGGGTGAGAACTGGGGGCATCATCATGGTCATGGTGGGTGAGAGCTAGGGGTGTCTTCATGGTCATGGTAGGTGAGAACTGGGGGCATCATCATGGTCATGGTGGGTGAGAGCTAGGGGTGTATCTTCATGGTCATGGTGGGTGAGATCTGGGGTGTCTTCATGGTCATGGTGGGTGAGAACTGGGGGCATCATCATGGTCATGGTAGGTGAGAACTGGGGGCATCATCATGGTCATGGTGGGTGAGAACTGGGGGCATCATCATGGTCATGGTGGGTGAGAGCTGGGGGTGTCTTCATGGACATGGTGGGTGAGAACTGGGGGCATCATCATGGTCATGGTGGGTGAGAACTGGGGGCATCATCATGGTCATGGTGGGTTAGATCTGGGGGTGTCATCATGGTCATGGTGGGTGAGAACTGGGGGCATCATCATGGTCATGGTAGGTGAGAACTGGGGGCATCATCATGGTCATGGTGGGTGAGAGCTGGGGGCATCATCATGGTCATGGTAAGTGAGAACTAGGGGCATCATCATGGTCATGGTGGGTGAGAACTGGGGGCATCATCATGGTCATGGTGGGTGAGAGCTGGGGGTGTCTTCATGGTCATGGTGGGTGAGAGCTGGGGCATCCCCATGTCACGGTGGGTGAGAACTGAGGGTGTCTTATGGTCATGGTGGGTGAGAGCTGGGGGCGTCTTCATGGTCATGGTGGGTGAGAGCTGGGGGTGTCATCATGGTCATGGTGGGTGAGAGCTGGGGGTGTGTCATCATGGTCATGGTGGGTGAGAGCTGGGGCATCATCATGGTCATGGTGGGTGAGAGCTGGGGGCGTCTTCATGGTCATGGTGGGTGAGAGCTGGGGGCGTCTTCATGGTCATGGTGGGTGAGAGCTGGGGGCGTCTTCATGGTCATGGTAGGTGAGAACTGGGGGCATCATCATGGTCATGGTGGGTGAGAGCTGGGGGCATCATCATGGTCATGGTGGGTGAGAGCTGGGGGTGTCTTCATGGTCATGGTGGGTGAGAGCTGGGGCATCCCCATGTCATGGTGGGTGAGAGCTGGGGCATCCCCATGTCATGGTGGGCTGAGCCCTACATGGAAGCCTGTGCTTGGATAGTGTAGCCCTTTCTCCTGTTTTTCTATGGTGAACAATTGAACTGTAAGTGTTAAAAATATCAGTAATTTGTGAAATAAATTTTATTCTCATTTGAGCAACACAAATCACAATTTTGTTTGTTTACCATGCCTGTCAAAATCACAAAAAATTTTTTT